CCATTGCTCAATCAATGTCATGCTCAATGTAATGGATGTCAATGAGCCAAATTTAAATCACCCATTTCATTATGTATTGTGGACAATTATATCATACACATATAACTTCCAAAAAACTCATCACAATGTTAATATATTAATACACATATATCAACATTTTATCTAAGAATAACAACCAAACATATTATTACATAATCAAGCAATAATACCCTTAATTCTCAAGGCATAATGTAAACATATAACATACCCACAAAGCAGCTCACATAACAACTCCTAAACAAGCCACATAACGGCCACAAAACAGCCCCTAAACAAGTCCAAGACAGGCCACATAACAGCCCCAAAATAGGTTCAAGACAAGCCACATAGCTGTCCCAAAACATGCCACAAAATAACCCCTGAACAAGCCACATAGCAGCCCCAAAATAAGCCACCAAAATAGACCTTAAACAGGCCACATAGTAGCCCATAAATAAGCCATAAAACAGTCCGTAATTTTAACTCAAAACAAACATAATTTCAGCCTCTTAACAACCCATAATTTTAGCCCCTAAATAGCCACGATTTCAACCACATAACAGCCTCTTAAATCAGCCTAAAAGGTAGGAATAAAACCAAAGTAGGAAGAACCCTACCTCTTCGAGTGTAGTAGAAATGGTAGGAAGCCTCAAAAACACTTCATAAGCCCAAAACCTTGATTTCTCCAAAATTTTCTCTTTGGATCTTCGATGAAATTAGTTCTTTTTTGGTACGTATGCGTAGCTCTCATCGAGGAGATGAACATTAACTCTTGGCTCGACGAATTTCGACCGACGAAACTCCGAGAATCGAAGGAGAAAGCTTGAAGATTGATTTTTTTTTTTCTTCTCTTCTCTCCCAAATGTGAGGCTGAACAAATGGAGATATTTTTTCCAAAAATCTGATTTAAGTCACTATTTATAATTTTAAAGACTTGGCTCACATCGAGCCACACGCCCCCCACTTGTTCGGATCTATTTTCGCCCCGAAGCGATTTATTTCATTCTGCTTTAAGTTTAAATTAATTTTATTTAAATTTTAATCCAATTATAAGTAAATTTTATTTTTGGAGACCTTTGAACGATCGTTCGTCACCCAATTGTCTCGTAAAACGTATAAAATTTGACGAAAATTGATAAGGCAGAACGATTTTGCGAATCCAAGGGTGAGGTCCGTTATGTCATTCGAGCTCTAGAAAAATATGAATTTTAAACCTGCATTATAGTGACAAATTATCATTTTACCCTTTTTTCGAAAAAATTTAAATTTACCCGAGTTTTACTCCATATTTCTCAGGTTATTTATTTTTGACATTGACTGTGTAATTACCCATAAAAATAAAAATAAAAATAAAAATATTTTATTTTGGTGCATTGGCTACTTAGGAGTATATATATATATAGAAGACCAAAGTAAGTGACAACAAACAAAGAAATATGTATATATACACACACACACACACGTGAGAGAGAGAGAGAGAGAGAAAGGAAGAAAAGAAGAACGAAAAAGAAAACCAAAAGGGATTTGTCCCATTGAAGGTATGAATTTATTAATTATTTAATTAGTTTTATATTCTTTTCAATTACATGGTATTAGGTTTATTATAAATAGTGATAATGAATATATATATATATATATAGAATATTGAGAAATATGTAAATGAATTTTATTGAAAGTTGTTAATTTAGATGTTTTTAGACCTAATATAGATTGGTTGGTCTTGAAGCTTTTAAAAAATTTATTTAATGTGTTCAAAAAAAGGGAAGCAAAAAAGAAAGCAAAGAGGAAGAAGGAAGAAAGTTACAAGCTTTTTAACTTTCGGTGGGTGGAGAAGATGGATTTCTTATCCCTATATTCTTGTAAACTTAATTTTAACTACTATTTTACTTGGTAAGTTGGAAGAATATAATTTTGGAAAATTTATGGCAGCCTTGAAAATAGAAATTATATTTTGACCCCAAAAATTTTAAAAATTATGATTTAACCCCAAAATTTTAGAATTTTTTTAAACATCCCAGAATACTTCTATAGCTATTACTTTGTACTAGGAAGTATATTTATATGTAAATGATATATTAAGTATATATCAATGGATAGGAGGTACGTAAATTAAATAGAGTCACGAAATGACGAAATTAAGAATATGAATTAATTGTTATATGCTATTTTGAATTAGGTAGTGATTGTATTGAGGTTGAGAAATAAGACTTTGAATTAGATTTTGGGAATTAAGGTGAATAGTTTACTACTTCTTTTGGTAGGATTTTTTATATTAAATGTGTGGATGCATGCGTGTGAATTTTTCGTATATATGATATATGTGTTGATATTTAAGGTTACAATTAAATGTTTTGCAATTGAAAACTGCTATACATGTGAATTTTGAAAACTTGTGAGATGATTTTATATAATTGTTTTACTGATGAAAGAGAAATTTTGTGTGCGTTAGAACTAAAACTACAATTTTTGTGTGTGTAAAAATCATGTTTATGAGACGAGGACTGAGTTATCAAGTCTAAATGGTAACGAGATTATATAGCGGTGTGATCGATGTAGGGATGTACACATAGGGGTTAGTCATCAGGCTAGTAATGACAAGAAAAATGGCTAGTTACTAGGCTAGTAGTAACAAAAAATGGGGTTAGTTATTAGACTAGTGGTAACAAACATAATTTGATAAATGTATTTAAAACTGAATGTGTGTGTGAGTATTTTGAGTTATAAATGTCTTTTCATTTATAAAATTATTTGTGAAAATAAGTGGTGTTTTGAGTTATAAATATATTTTTATTTATAAAGTTATTTGTGATCATAAAATTTTTTTTTTAAGGATTATGTGAGAGGGGTTGAGGTACAATTTGTTATACTTATATATGTATCAAAGTTTATTTTTGTATATAAACTGTGAGATTTATTTTCACACCTCATTAGAGGTGGTTGCTATTCACGGGCCATTGTGCTCATTCAAACATTTAATATTTTTCAGGTGAGGATCAGGGTGAAGAGTAAGTCGACATATAGACAAGGGATTAGAGGAATTAAAGATTTATTTTATTGTAGATCTTCAGGAATAAAAATATTTTATAGTTTTGAGATAAATGTTTAATTATTTTAGAAATAATATTGCTTATGTATAGAATAATAAACTTTATGGTTTAATTATTGTTTTACATAGATTTAGTAATGATGTTGGTGATATTTAATTTATTCCTCTGGTATTCATTAGGTCGGTGGAAGATCACTTTATTATTTGTCTTCCGTTATATTTTACATTTATTATGTATAAGGTTGGTTGGTTAAAGCTTTGGTGGCCGATCCGCCATCCACCCTATGTGATCCGAGATGGGGTGTGACAGATTGAAGCATAGTAGCACATTTTGCTGCACATAGGCATGAGTTCAACATATCTTCTAGAAATTGATGGGGTGCTCAATGTTTACAACACATCATTTGTTTGATAAACATATTTTGCTCTAATTATCCACCTTTTCATCATACTGCTATGAGATGAGGTGCTCACATTTCATGATGACAATCATGTGAGAACATGGTATCCCAATAGAATCAAATTTCATGCAATGACACTTAAACGTATGAATGTCTGGATAATATTGAACAATCCACCTAGATTCAGGTTGTGTGAATTGGGACCAATAGTAACTTTGATAAGTCACTCTCAATTTTATCCACTACAAAAAATAAAGGTTCATCCTTCAATTGTTCACGAACTTTGAAGAATATTTTTCTGGTGTATGTCTTGGTGGCTTTCTTCTCTAAGCAATTCAATGTTGTTGTGAGCACTAGCTCGAAGTGTTTCGACTCATAGTCATCATTGACCTCGGTCTCTCTGATTCTTGCCAAGCTCCTATCGTACAACCTAACAAACTCGAACAGTTTTTGGCGTGTTTTTAGGAAGCGATTTAGGTATGTATTCATGTCCAGCAAAAAATATCCCCCACAAGTATGCTTCGGCCCATTTGAATCTCTTTGCATAAACTTACGCAATCTAATTATTTTTCTTCAATCCAAATGATTCAACCATTGATTTCCATAGATATTCAAATTCTTCCAGTGTACATCAAGTGCGCATACATCTCTTGAATGCTTGGAAAGAATTTTCAGAATTTATATTTGTGAAAGCATTTCAAGCCAAATATCACTTACATAAACGGTGTGTTGCTTGTGAAAATATTATTCCTATTGTAGTAGTCATTGCTTTATCCCCATCTGTAATAATGGAGATCGACATCTTATTATCCATTGCATGAAGAAAAGTAGATAACACCCACACATATGTTTCCACGGTCTCATCTGACAGCATGCACAATCAAATATAGTTGTAGCATTGTGGTGATTGACACCTACAAATATCACAAATGACTTCTTATAACATTCGTTCGATATTTAGTATCAAACGTTAGAACATCAACCAAAGTTTTAAAACCCGGCCCGGATGTCAACCCGGGAAAAGGACTAGATTAGTGGGTCACTAGTTCAACCGTTGAGTAACTGGTCGAACCGGTAATAAAATAAATAAATAAATAAAAATTATTATTAATAATAAATATGCTTAAAATCACAAAAATTTTAAAAATTGTATACTTAATATATTTTAGATCAAACAAAAATCTCAAAATCACCAAATAGATTCTCAATCAAATAGTTAAATCAGTAACAATTAAGCCAAAACCCATGCTCAATTAGGCAGTAAGATTTCACCTCCACCTAACTCTTAATCAAACAGATTAAAACCCCAATTTCATATGTCAAAATCTAGTTAATCCCAATTTCATATGCCATATGCCAAAACCCAGTTAATCCTAATTTCATATGCCATATGCCAAAACCCAATTTCATATGTCAAATAGATAAATCAGTAACAATTAAACCAAAACTCATTCCCTTAATTTCATATGCAATATCAAGTATCATCAACTAATTTACCAAGTTAATCTACAATACAATCAATACTAAAATAACAGAGAAATTACCAAGAAAGAGATGTACCTGTTGAGAGGGATGTACAATTAAGGAAGTCCCAAGCTGGTGGGTCATTCACTGTAACCAGAGACACATCGGGTGAGTTGTTGGGCAAAGGCACTAAGATTACCCTCTACCTTAAAGAAGACCAGCTTGAATACCTTGAGGAGTGCAGGCTCAGGGATCTGATTATGAAAAATTCTGAGTTCATCAATTACCCAATTTCTCTTTGGATTGGAGTTCATCAACTACCCAAGGCTCAAGGCTTCGAGTTCGACAATGGCTTCGGCTTCGAGTTCTACAGTGGCTTCGAGTTCGAGTTCGAGAGGGGCTTTGAGTGTTCCACCGCCTCAACATCAACAACGATTCTAGCCTCGAACTCGAAGGCCTCATCAAGATGGCAGATCAGACAAGATCGACTGCCTTAGACTAGAGAGAGAGAGAGAGAGGCGCAGAGTAGAAGACAGGAGATGGGTGGTGGCTGGGTGCAAAACGATTAGGGCAAAAAATGCCCAAATAACTTCAAAACCTAGTATTTATAGAATTTGAAGCAACTCGTCCGATTTGCTTTAAACCGTCCGGTTCAACGGGTTTGTTACTAAACTGGCCGGTTCATCGGGTTTTGTCCGATTCCTTTGTTCAAACAATTCAATAACTAAACTGGTCCGACTTAGGCTCCGGTTCACCGGGTCAACCCGCCGGGCCGGGCCGAGTTTCAAAACACTGACATCAACAAAACTATTGTAGGCTATTCGAGATGTCAAATCCGTCCAAAACAAACAATTTAATGAATTATTTTCAGTGATGTTGTACTTGAAATAGAATAGCGGGTCCAACTCTTCCCTGGCGCTCAAGTATGTCAATGTGCTCTCCGCATCACCGTCCCTGATTTCTTCTCTATGTTGGGATCCTACATCATTGTACAAATCTTTTGTGGTAAATCTAACATTTTGATATCCTCCCGATTGTTGCAACATGAAATCTCTAATCTAACTTGTTCGTATACCAACATTACGCAATGATATAGCTTATGCTCTATCAGGGCTCTTAACACCCCTATATGATCGGAGATATGGCATGCCACGTGGTGAAACCAATAAATGGTTGTGTTCATTAACAAAATCCTTTACACGAAAATGTTTCAAGACATCTAACCCTTGTTAAACCCCGTGGTTCCCTTACTCATTCGACGTGGTCCGCATTCTTTGCAAACCGATACCCTTCTTTAGAACAAATCCACCTTCTTGAAATTGGCATGTGGTTCTTGTCATTCTTTAGGTCTTCTTTTTGAATGCTAAACCCTACATATCTTCCATAGGTATTATAAAATTATCTTGCCTCGTCGTGTGAATCAAACGTCATTTCACAAACTTTTTCGAATTTTAACTCATCCATCATTTTTTGTTGCATGTTCTCATTTTCATAATTTTCAACATCATGTAATATGTCCTCTGTTACATCTTCATTTAGGTCTATAATGACGTGTTTTCCTTTTTCTAAATAAGTTGAAGACATTTGTGTTGATTATACCTACAGAAAAATAATTAACAACATATGAATGGTATATATCAAATGTTTGACCAATTAACTAATATTGTACGTACAAAATGTAAAAAAAAAAAGTAGTTTTTGTCAATATTAGTTTATATAGTACTCTCCTTTCCCATACTTTCTATCAAAATTAGTAAAGATTCATAAAGAAAATTATGTAGTTAACATCAAACACATAATAGTTACCTCGCCCACCTAATTGGATGGAGGATGATAGAATCGAGGTTCTAAACGTTCCAATGAAATTGTATGGAGCATAAAAGAATAAAGAGTGAAATTGTAGGGGATGAAGAAACATTAGATTGAAGTTATAGAATGTTCAGACACCATAACCTCGTTAAGTGAGAGATATTAATATCATTTATTTTATAATTATCAACTATATTTATACTGATAAATTTCATTGGCTTGCATTTATTATGTGAAGTGATTTTGAAAAGAAATGAGATAGATTGTTACTTATGTGGCGATTACGTGTATTCTAACCTTTTTATGTGGCTATTTATGCTGATAAATTTCATTGGTTACTACTTTTTTGGATTGTGTTACAATATTTTGGGTTAGGGTTTAAAATTTTTGGGGTTAGCTTTAAACTTTGGTAGATCCAATTGGAGCCCACCCAAAAAAGTTATTACCTTATCTAACAAAGTTGAAACCTCACTCCAAATAATGATAGTCCTATTTGGACTGCAATTGGCATGTCATGGCATAAGTACATCAATGCCCTTATTGTCCATTGAAACCATTATTTAAGGAGACTTAAATTTTGTCTGCCTTGACCAATAGATCTGCATCTTTTTCTCTCCCCTCTACATTTTCATCTCTTCCCTTCTAGTTCTGCATCTCCTTCTTTTTTACTCTCATTTCAAGATCTTCAACTTTTTTACTCTGATCTTGAACCAGGGAATAACCAACAACATAAATGGTATGTTGTTTTTAAAGGTAGGGTTGTTGGCATTTGCCCATCATGGGAGGGATGTCATCAACATGTTGAGGGTATAGTGGGGCATTGTACAAGAGTTTTGCCTCTTGAGAGGATGTCGAAGTGACACTTTCCAACTATATTGCGTCTAAGTATGATAATCATCACATAGTCAGTGGACAAATGACACATGAAGTGATTAATAGGGAACATGTCAAGATGACACATGAAGTACTGGGTAATAGGGCATAGGTCAACTGCAATGAAAATGAATTTGTATGGTCCATTGTAGGATTGGTAATAGGTATCATACTCACTCATATTATATACCACTTTGTCGCACAATTATGAATTGTTTGATGTTTTATCCAACTCAAAATGGCATGCACAATTCTACTTTTTTTTTTTAAGAAGAAAAATTTTATAGATTGAACCCAAGAAAATTACAAGAATCAAAGATTTACAAGATAAAGCATCAAAATACAATTTTATACATTTTTGGTTTTAATCCTTCAAGATGCTTTGAAGGAATTTACATTAACACCAAAGAGCCCAGACACTTCAAACGAACTACTTCAACAGTCCACCCCTCCTGTTATCAACTCAGTCACAATAGTGTTTACAAAATGACAAGGACTAATCATTTCACTATCAAAACTAGCAACCTCCTTTGATCCTGCACCACTAGCATTCTTTCCAGGCTTGGCAAAGAATCCACAACAAATTTAGAAGAGCACCCAACAACAAATCCAGACTTTGCAAAACCATCAAAATTTGAGACAAAATGCCCCATAAAAAATTGTAATTGTTTGGTTCCAAAAAACGTATTGTTTTATTCCACAAAATATATTATCAGTCATTTCAAGACTATATGAAATAGACTACAAAACCTCTAGTAACCTTTAGTATATTTCATATGGTTGAAAAATGACAGACCCTCCTATTTGGGAACCCAAAACTATATCCCAGTCCACACTATATACAAAAAAAAGTCAGTGTAACTTTTGGAATTTCCCAATCTAAACTAATATCTCCACAAATTTATCATTTTCTAACTGGCATCCTTGTACCACTGATGTGCCTTCGTTGTAATCTTGTCTCTTGGTTCATTATATACTTGGGTAACTAGCTTAATTGTTAGATCCATGCGCATTTGATTTGATTGCTCCTAAAGACACAAGTATATTAAGTGAGTTCACAAATTTAATATTAAAATAAATTTAGTTCACTAATAAGAAAATGTATCATACTGTAATCCTGAATGATAGACCCAAAATTAGAGCACTCATCATCTTGATAACAAATATTCTATAATCATAACTATTAGGTTGTCGAGGAGTCCACTCAACTTGAGTTATGGGCCAGTGGATCAGTGTTGGCCTGTGGTTCGGTACGACAAGTTCAAGGACTATGTCTAGTTCTTTAATCACATTCTTGACGGCAATGTATCGGTGCTCATTAGAATGCATTGACAATGAATCGAGTAGCAGAACTTGTTGCCCCACTACATCAACCAAGCAGAGATACCAATATATTTTTTTCTTATTGATGGGTATATATATCTATAACTATACATAAAATAGATTGTCGATTATATATATGCAGATATTATTGTAGAAATGATCCATCATAAATAGAGTAAAAAATAGTTTAAAGAATAGAACAATTATATATCATTTCACAGTCCTTGAAATGTGAAATAAAGTACCTTTGAAAATCAAGCAACTCATACGTTTTATCTTTGTATGTTCCTCCAAGTGCTTTTTGCTGGGTATTGGAGAGAACTATGAGTAGACATTGAGAGTTTAAAATATTTTTGAAATTTATAAATGTGAAATAGACCATTACTGAAAACCATGTTGGTAGGTACCATCGTAACTTTTTTGTAAATGGATTAATCTTGACAGACTTAGGAATAAAATATGGTGCCAAATTTATTATCTTCAAAAGGTCAAACAATAGAAAATCAAACTCACAACAGAATCATGTTAGCCACAACATTATCATATTAGTCAATATTAAAATTATACTAAATAAATGTCTATCTAACTCACAGCATCTATTAGCCATTTTGTCAATTTTAAGGTTTCAATCATTACTCCTCTTAACGCATAACAAGTTTTAATGCTCACTAATAACTCACTGTATCATTAAAGAATTGAATTAGTATTTTATGATGCTCTAATAATACTGTTCATGACACAAAATATAGTAGATATCTCATTTCAAGGGATGTGTCAAATATATAATTGAAGACAAACAATTTGTCATCAGCAGTTATTTCGTCGATTGGTGGATACTCCACATCTAATGATGGGTTCCACGCAGTACTAATAATTCCCCTGATACAATTGTTCCTTTATTCTTATTTTCATTTATTTCCTCCTCCTCATTAATTCCCTCATTATCCTTATCCACATCCTCTTCATTATTTTCATTCACATTCACATCTTCATTCTCATTCTGTTCAATTCCATTACTATCCAACTGTGTTTAAAAAAAACAAAGTAGTATCATATATTGTTAAATCATAAAAAAAAAAATCAAGTAAAACCACATCCTAGAAAAGATGTGTTAACCTTAATTATATCTTCTGTAGATCTATCCATATCCTTTAACATCAGATTTTTTATGCTTCCTACTCTGAACATTCTGCTTAAAAAAATAATACATAGGTTTACAACCAAATAATGAAGTTTAATAAAAATATGGATGGTATAATGTTTACATTATATCATTATATCTGAACGAGTCTAACAAGACTTGGATCACCAGTGCAAAGGTAAGCAATGGAGGATTATCAAACTCAAAGTCGTGCGAAAAAAAAAAAAGTAAGCACTGGATGGAGTTTCACACTACCTCGTCGTCGGAGACTCAAAATCTAAACCAAACAAATACTTTTTATACGGTGAAAGAGACGGAGGGAAGACAAGAGAAGTGAAAAATAATTTGGGTGGGAAAGTGGGTAGAGGGAGAAGATAAAATTTTTGTAATTTGTGGACCACAATATACACTGAAAAATAAAAAAAAAATAGTATATTATAATTTGTGAGGTGTAAGTGTAATTTACATCTAGAAAAATTAAGACTAGCTGAAGAAATAGGCGACCAATCGGGGTTAATATTACACTTTTATTCCTTAACTATCAAACTTTTATCCCTTAAATAATCAAAAAATTTCTACTGTAGTCCAAAAATATTTAATATTTTTTAAATAGTCTCACTCTTTTGATAAAAATCAAGGATAAAAGTGTTATTAACAACAAATAAATAAATACTACCTCGTCAATCCTAAAAAAGAATAAAATTAAATAATTAAGACCGCTCACCAAATAAAAAAATTGTCAATAAAGGTTCTAACTCTTTGGATAGGGGTATAATTTTTTTGGATTGAGTTCCAATTTTTGGGGTGACTCGGATTAGTTAGATTACAACTTTTTTTGTGAGATTTCAACTATTTTAGATTGGGTTATAAGCTTTTGAGTTGAGGTTTAACTTTTTAGGATTGAATTATTATTTTTTTGGGGTGGATTCTAACTTTTTGGGGATAAAGTTTTAACTTTTATGCATTAATTTATATTTTTTGGTTCATATTTCAACTTTTTTGAATTGAGTTATAACTTTTTGGGATAAGTTCTAACTGTTGAAAGAGGAGTTCCAACTTTTTTAGTGAGATTTCAATTATTTTAGATTGGGTTATAACTTTTAGGGTTAGATTTAACTTTTTAGGATTGAATTATATTTTTTTGGAGTTTCAACTTTTATCCGTTAGTTATAATTTTTGAGCTCAATTTTCAACTTTTATAAATTTTAAATTTGAGTTATAATTTTTTTTGCATTAGTTTATATTTTTTGGGTCAGGTTTCAACTTTAATGAATTAATTTATAATTTTTTGAGTGGATTCTAACTTCTGTGGGATTTAGAATTTTTAACATTGAATTTACCACATTTTTTAGGTATGTTATCAGTTTTTTGGTATCAAGTTATTTGTCAAATTCTACTCTATTTTTATTACTGGTTTAGCAGGTAAACGGTATCCCACTTTTTAAACTCATCAACGACTACAAAAGCAAAAATATTACATCAATAATCAAAATTGAATGTTGGTACAGTACCAAAAAACAAATTTCGGTATTGTAGAAGGATCCAAAAAACATAGGTAGGACACAGCGTTTGAACATTAAGGAATATTGAAACTTGAAATGTGAAATTTTCATTTTATCTCTTTGAAAATTGCAAAATTACATTTTGTGCCTTAATTTTTTTTTTTACCTCAATTCCAAATATAATTTTTTGTACTTAAAGAAATGCGGGGACAAGTATACGACACATAATTGAAAAGATAAAATAAAAAAATATTTTTAGGCACAAAGTACCTTTCACCCATGATATAAATAAAGGGTAAATTATCCTTTGACCTTCTCAATTATAACTCTTTTTTTATATTATTTCTTCAACTATTATATTTTTCAAATTGTACTATATATTATATGACTAGTTTCACATTACCTTAATTATTAATATTTATTACATATTTAACAAAAAAATATTTAATTTTTTTTTTTACTTTGACCCGTTAGATTGGTAATTTCAAACCAAAAGATAGCAACCATTTGTGAGTGGGGCAATGTGATATAATTCAAGTAATTAAGAAGACAATGTAAAAATTGAATAGGACAAGAGATAAAATAAAATAAAGTCCATAGTTTAGAGAGTCAAAGTGTAGTTTCCCCATTAATCAATTTTAAAGCACTGTAACTGCCAAACAAACAACCGTTCAGAGACTTGGGATTTCCACTCTCTTCTTGCTCTTGTGCAGCATTTCATAGACTAGTAATAAGCATCAGCTCTCAAATATTCAGCCAAGAAGAAAATGGGGTTTTTCTCACATCTCAACAGAGCTATCAATGGCTACCCTTCTTCCTTAAAGCTTCTGGTTCTTTTCTCTGTCAGGTTCTGATTCCTTTAATGTCTTCTTCATGAGACCCCCTTTTGATTTCATTTCAATTTTGAAAACACTCTGTAAGTACTTAATGTTTGTGGGGTTTTGGGGGTTTTTTTCGTCACATACCCACTTATGCTTCTTCCTATTATGTGTCTTGAAATTTTATGAGTGGAGTTTTGAGGTTTTCCTTCGAATACCCAATTTTTGTTTTTCCGTTTCTGGTTTGAAAATTTGGGAATTTGATGTTTGCTCTGTTTCTCTTGTGGTGATGGATTCATTGACATTGCGTTTTGTTGTTCCACGGTGTCTTCATCTATGCCTCAAGAACCAGGATGTGTTTTGACTGGTATGTGGAAATAGCATAGATCATGGCAGGAGTTTACTTGAGTAAAATATAATTCAGCCATTTGATACACCTCCTCACTTGTTGATTTAAATATAAAAAACTCGTACAAATGATAAACAACAATCCATATTCCAGCCCTAATACGAAGGCTTGCTTCCAAGTTCCACAATATGAATGTATCTATGTAAAATTTTTGAAGTATGAGTACTACAGCAAAGTCATATCTTTCGATGCTGTTATGCTGTAATGGGTCCTAAAACTATTGATCAATTAGGATTCTTCAGATTTATACTGTTATTATATCCTAAATAGTGATTAATTATTAGTATTCTTTATAAGATTTATAGGAAAAAGATAGGAATATGCTTGTAAAAAGTTGGAAAGAAAATTCTCAATATCATATTTGAGGGCAAGCCTTGGTGGAGCGATAAGGTTGCTCCGTTGTGACTTAAGCGTAAAGGGTTCGAATCTTAGAAATAGCCTATTCGCATGAGAGGTAATGCTGCATATATTTGACCTTTTTCAGACCCAGTAGTGGCGTGAGTCTTGTGCAGAACAACCTTTTTATAAGTTCCTAGTTTATTTCAGGCTTAAATGAGCCACAAGTGGCTAACACTATGTGATCAAAATGATAATGATGATGATGAAATGACGATGACAGGGATATTAAAATGTCGCATGATGCTCCACTGACCCTTTGATTGACATTGATGAAATCACCTTGCCAAGTGGAACCAAAATTTGATTTTGAAAACTGACATCTGAAGCGAAGCCATTACCTCTGTATGGTAAAGCTCATTACCTCAAGAGTACTTGAGAAGATCTTCGGTTGTTTGTGTAGAATCCATGGTTTTACCGGAACCCTGAGCTCCAAGGACAGAAAAAGTAATAAGTTTGCTTCCACTGGAAAGGTAATTCACTTGGTTATGGTAGAAAGAAGGCTTACGATGAACATTATACTACCTGTAGATCTTTTTTACAGGAGGAAAACATATTTGGTTTTACTCGAACCTTCACAGTGAGGATGATTCATGATGACAATGTGGGATGAGCAACAACACAAATAGTGCATATTTGCGGCTTTTATTATTTTATCTCTTTGCTTTACTTAAAATACTGCCAACCCAGTAGAGTGGCCCCTACAACATGATCATATGGCCTATTGTGTGCTACGCACTGCTTATCATAATGATACCAATTATGGTCGTTCAATGTGTCAAACATTGACATGGAAGATCCCTCAACTTTTTTTGAGTGTTCCTTGTGCTTCAAAAACTGTTCTAATTTGTAGTGTGTGTCCTTCCTTTCTGGTGAATTGTACATCTTCAGCTAGTATGTTGATCATTGCAGTAGCGGAGGTCTTGTGGCACATGCAGAGCCACAGTCAGACAATGGAAGAGATACCGTCGAACTTAATCAAATGGAACCTAAGAAGAAGAGAGTAGTGGTGCTAGGCACGGGATGGGCTGGTACCAGTTTCCTGAAGGATCTGGATATTTCACTATATGATGTTAAGGTGATCTCCCCTCGGAATTATTTCGCATTCACTCCTTTGTTACCTAGTGTCACATGTGGAACAGTTGAGGCACGAAGCATTGTAGAACCAATTCAGAGAATAATGAAGAAGGTAAGTGAGTTTTTATTGTAGTATTTTGTCAAAGTGCACTATGCTGTACACATTAGATTTACTTGAAACATTCAAGTTCTTTGGTTATTATCATCAATGTGTTGTGCATATATAATTTGTAAAACGTTATAATATAACTTAAACATTGTTGGAACCAGACAGACAATTTCATTTCTCATTATTTGAATAATTTCACTATTACATCTCTGGTGCTTCCTGTACCGTCGTTACTTCTTGTCTAATACTTACTAGTTAATGGCTTTGTAGTTATTCTACGCCAATTATTGCTTTCGATCTTGTTGACAATGCTCTAAGGAATTTTTTAGTCTACATGTACTCTATTTGTCCAAGAAATTTTTTAATGTTTTTTCATTTTCCATGACAGAAACGTGAAGAGATTGATTTCTGGGAAGCAGAATGCCTCAAGATAGATGCAGCAAAAAAAAAAAAATTCTGCCGTCAAACATCAATGAAAACTTAGCAGGATATAATGAATTCTTTCGGGAATATGACTATTTAGTTATTGCCATAGGAGCAGAAGTAAATACTTTTAACACCCCTGGCGTCTTGGAGTATTGCCATTTTCTGAATGTAGAGTTCTTTCATATAGGATGAACTCATGTATCTTGGAAGTCGACAATGTGATCAACAATTTGTTTTCAGAAAAAGCTACTAAATATGATTATTGCTGACATTTCTTTGGGAGTCCTAAATTTCCTTTAATTGAAAAGAATTCTTGACATCTCATACAGGAAGAAGAGGATGCTCAAAGGATCCGTCGAACTGTTATAGATTGTTTTGAAACAGCTGTCCTTCCAGGGCAAAGTGAAGAAGAGCGAATGACAAACCTCCATTTTGTAATAGTTGGAGGGGGGCCAACTGGTGTGGAATTTGCTGCAGAGTTATACGACTTTGTCCATGAAGATTTAGTATACTTATATCCCACGGTAAAAGATCTAGTGAAAATATCGGTGATCCAATCTGGGGATCATATGTTGAACATGTATGGAGATAGATTTCATTATTCATTTGTTCATTTCACTGGATATATCTTAGTGGAGCATCATGGTTATCTTATAAAGACTTATACTCTTGTTTTCTCCTTTACTTGAATGGATGTCAGCCAGATTTTCACTCCCATGTCATTTATTATGCATAGGAATTTTTTGTTTTGCATTATTTGTGGTATTTCTTTTTCCCATATTTTAGGTCTAAGGGGTGGTGAGATTTCGATTGCTTCTCTATCAAATATTAAATTGAGATAGTCTTCTTTTGATTTTGGATTCTACCTTGTGTACACTAGACATGATCCAAGTTAGAGTGAATGTCAAAACCAGTGGCTACACCTTGCAGATACGTTGAGTTGAGTATGTTTTGTACCTCTGGTATGATTGAATTTTTCGGTCCACATAAATTAATTACCTTTAGATTTCCTCTTGGAACGATAAAAGACTTCATCTGTGTTTGAATTATATTCCTGCGTGATAAAAATTGCTTCCTAAGATCTAGCCATGATTGAAAATCATAGAATAAAAGTTTAACTTTACCAAGTTGCTGTTTACTCTTGTGGTCAATGTCTCGACTCCATTATTCCCTGTCCCTGTTTCTTTCTTTTCTCCTTTTTTGGCTTTCCTTTTCCTTCTATCCTTCACCCCACCCTCGCACCGAGGCATAACCAACTTGTAATTGTTGATTTGCTTCTTTATCTGTACTGATTGCTTTCTATTGATTAATGATAGGTGCATCAATGTTATCAATAGCTAGTTGTATATCTTCTTGTCGTCCTTCTTTGAATTTTTCTTTTGTGTGTGGAGCAATTTTTGAATCTGTTCCAAATATCTAGTTATGCCCGCCCACCCCTTGAAATACATTAGTTTAGAAATTTGTTTATACAAATGAAGATATATTATCAACTACAGATATTCAGAGATTTTTCACAATTAAAGTCCATTTACTAACCTTTGTCTTTGTTAAAAGTTTGGTTCAGCATGATGCTCATGAACCTTACAAGCCATGGGGACCAGCATTGTTGGATTTTGATTATTGGTTTCCGTATGTTCTATGAGGAAAAAAATTTGTATGTTGATCCTCCCTTTTTTGTGGGGATTAGCATAGTTAAATCTTCCTTAATACATTGTTTCGTTTGATTATACCATAAATGAGACATCTCTGGAGCTGCTAACATGTGAAAACTCAAACCGAGAATGCCTTCAGAGCTACTTGTGTTGCACTGTTGTAACATTTTATTGCTTTCTATTCTGTAGAGTAATTCTTTTGTTGTATCTCTGCTCATCATTTTTTCATCAAAACCTCAAGCCCTGTACTTATTGGTCTTCTTCCTGAGTTTATAGTGCTGCAACTTGAACGCTTGAACTATGCCTCTTTGAAAACAAAGGCATTTTGTTAGACTTCGTGCACATGTCAAAATCGTTCTTTTTCCTTTATGATACTGAGGGTTTTTTGGTGTCTCATGTTGTTGCCAGGTGTATCTCTACTCAGTTCTTATCTCTTCCATTTCTTGCTTTGTCAGTCTTCCATCTTCAGATCCCCTCTTCTGTTATGCTCATCTTTGGATATTGTTTTTAGCATTGTAGCAATAGTGATACAGCTACTCATCTTCTGGGTTGGTACGCGGGGTGTATGTCTGTCTTCTTTTCCTCTGTTGGGGGTGCGGGTGAAGTTTTTCTGAGATTTGGAGGATTGAGAAACTTTTTTCTGTATATTGTACTCTGAAGTAGATCACTAACGTGCTTCAAAAAAAAAGGGTAGATTAGTAATGTGTTTTCTGATTCTTCTTCAGTTTATTGGTTCAGTGCTAAGGTTTGTATTGTGCCTCAATTGCCTCTAGAGTAGCTTAATTGTCATTTCTGTTATTACATGACTAATTAGTCTCTACCGATCAATTTCACGTAGGTAACTTCTTGTATGTCATACTTACTCCATACTGCAAGTGCATGGGAACAAAGGGGATATCACAATTTAGAAACTCAGGAATTTGTGCTTCTCATGTCTTTGTAGGTTTGATCAAAGAATTAGCTCGTTTGCTGAACAAAAATTCCGGAGAGATGGTATTGAAGTTCTAACAGAATGTCGGGTTGTAAGCGTTTCTGATAAATTGATCGACATGAAAATGAAATCTCTGGGAGAGAATATTTCTATTCCCCATGGGATGGTTGTGTGGTCAACTGGGATAGGAACTCGCCCAGTTGTCAAGGATTTTATGAAATTGTTGGAGATATAGCAGCAACTTAGTTTATTAGAGTTTTATTAAGTTTTTTTTTTTACCTTTTTGTCCTTGTTGTAACTCTCATTGACTATATACACGGGGGCTCTACACTTAGTTTGTATCTCTTTCACTTACATCTATCAAGTTAGTATCAGAGCCTAACCCTAACCCTAACCCTAACCCTAACCCTAACCCTAACCCTAACCCTAACTCTAGCCACCCACAGCCTACAAGAACAGACTGACAGCCTCCACCGACAAACAACTCAGTCCACCGATTGCCAAACCATACCCAGCAGCACCGAATCAGCGACAACTCAAACCTTCAGCAGCAGCCATTAACTAAGCCCCTGTCCCACTACACAATCCACTACCCAACACCGACAGCCACTCCACTGCCCACAAATACTACCAACTTGAACCAGCAAACCCAACTAACCTTGAACCAGCGAACCCAGCCACCCCGAACTAGCGACAGCCAGTCATCCAAACCAGAACCCACTTCACCAATAAAACACAAACCACACCGACTGCACCACGTTACAGCCACTACCCCAGAAAAACCCACCAACAGCACCCACAAAATCAGTTCTGTGACTTTGGGTATGGCTTGTTCTTGATTTGACGATAACACCTTACAGGTCTCTTCCCCTGGCGAGCTCTCTCTGGTTGATCAGCGGCTTCGAGTGAAACGAATACACCCATCAACAATTGACAATAAACTAACCAGCCCATAAACTAAACGAACCAACCCACTGCTAACCACCCATAAACTAAACGAACCAGCCTACTACTGCCACTATTCACTCTAGCGAACCACTGTCCACTCTAGCGAAATAACCCACCATTGTTGGGTCATGTTTTTCGTTGTTGAATCCTTTTTTTCTCCGTCTGTTGATTTGCTCTTGATGCAGTAGATTATTTATATTTATTGATTTCTGAGCACCGTGACCTGATTATTTGGGAGTTTTTTTGGACCTTCTTTATCTGTCGCTACTGTTCGACTAGAGGTATATTATTCTCCCCTATTTTATCCCTCTATTTATCTTAGAGTTATTTTTTTCTATCACGGGTGCTCTAGTATTATTGTTGATATGACTACTACTATTGAGAAACTTGAGACCCCTACTGTTGACACCTCTACCGTTGAGACATCCATGGGTACTTCCACTTTTATGTTTGACTAGTATACAGTACCTACTAGCACAGTTGCATTACCAGCACTACCAGGCATGATCTCTCAAAAAGTTACTGCACAGTTGTTGAATGGTCGTAACTTCGCTGAGTGGTTTTGCTCATTCCAATTTTTCTTAGGCCGTGTAGGGAAGCTTGGTTGGCAAACGGGATCTCACCCAAAGCCAGCTGATGTCGACCCTGGATATTCTGTGTGGTTCTCTGAGAACTGCGTCATTTTTGGATGGTTATTTGGCTCGATGGAGCTATCTGTTTACAGAATCCACCAGTTTCATAGCTCTGTTTGGAATCTATAGAGTGCATTATCAGAGATGTATTCTCAGTCAGGACGGAGAGTTCGTGTTTATGAGCTTTCTCATGAGCTCTCATATGCTCGGTAGGGAGATATGACTGTTCAGGATTATTATGGCTATTTGACCCAACGCTAGCTTGAGTATGAGACTCTACGTCCTCTTGCTGCTATTTCGAGGATAGAGCCCGAGGGAGCAACATTCTTGCATACTCGAGAACAGGAGGATATGATTCACAAGTTCCTTATGGGGCTTCGTGATGAGTTTGAGGGACCTCGTTCTCAGATCTTGTCGATGTTGACACTTACTTCTCTTTATGAGGTGTATGGGATGATTGAGCAGCATGAGCGCCGAGTCCGTATTGCATCACTTCTAGTTGCGGCTTTGACTCCTTCGGCTGACCAAATGGCCCTTGCAGCTGCTGCAAGGTCTCGTTCAGGATCCTTAGTCAGGGGTGGGCAGCGCTCGGACCAGCGCCGTCAGGGTGCCCCAGATCAGTGCAGACAAGGGGATTCTCGTCAATGTAATTATTGTGGCTGACCAGGATATCTCAGGATTACTTGCTGGAAGCTCCATCCAGAGCTTAAGCCACCTCCTCGCAGCCATACTGTTGCTATTATTGAGGTACCATCATCCACTACCGCTACTCTTGCGGCTACTCCTCTTTGGCAGAGTGATATGGATGCTATCACTTCTCAATTAGATATACTTATGTCTACTCTGACTTCTCAGAGTCCGACTACTGCTGCTACCACTACAGGTATACCTCGTGTCTTTCATGCTTGTGTCAGTTCATCTCTCCTTTGGATGTTGGACTCGGGTGCGAATGGTCACATGACAGGTGCGGCCCATCACTTCACCACTTTTGACGAGCAGTTACATACACAGGTTCATTTATAGATGGGACACATGCCTCTATTGCTAGTAGGGGTACAGTCCACCTCCTAGATGACTTTACATTACATTCGGTTTTTCATGCGCCAAAGTTGGTCATGAATCTATTATCTGTACATCAGTTAGCCAGAGATTTTCACTGTGCGGTTGTATTCTTATCTGATTCGTGTTATTTGTAGGACCTGAGTACCAGGAGGATTATTATCAGGGGATATGAGAAAGATGGACTGTATTATCTTGGTAATCCACCTCCAGTTTTACCAATTCCTCCACCTATATCACCTGCACCTGCACCTGTTTTGTCTTTATCTATTCTTAGCTTGCATGCTAGTATTTTACCTAGTAGTTGTCGTTATGATTTTTCTTCATAAACTGTTCAGTTGTGGCATAACCGTTTTGGACATACAAATTTTAAATATTTATGTATGATGTTTCCTGCTTTGAACAATGCTTGTGTTGATAGTAAACTTGATTGTGTTATATGTTTTCTATCGAAACATGTTAGGGCCAGTTATATTCCTCGCATGCACCAGTCACCCAAGCCATTTGACCTAATACATTTTGATATTTGGGGACCCTCTCCCGTTACTGCTCTGTCAGGCGATACTATGTGACATTTATAGATGACCATACCCATTGTACTTGGGTCTACCTTTTGCATCGAAAGTCTGATGTACTCCCTATAATCACTCAATTTTTATAGATGATTAAGACACAATTTGATGTCATTGTTCGTGCTCTTCGTTCCGATAATGCCAAAAAATATGTGTCTGATGTCTTAGTATCCCATCTTTCTTCTCAGGGTATTCTTCAGTAACTCACTTATCCATATACTCTTGAGCAAAATGGTGTTGCTAAAAGAAAAAATAGGAGTTTGATAGGGATGGTACATTGTATGCTTAGAGGCATGAGAGTACCAAAATTTTATTGACATTTTGCTATTTTAACTTCTACCTTTCTGTGCAATCGTACGCCGAGTCGTGTTCTTCAGCATAAGGCTCTCTTACAGGTCTTATTTTCTGAGCGAACACTTTTTTCGGTCCCCCCTCGTATTTTTGGATACACATGTTTTATTCAGGATTGATCTCCTACTCGTCATAAACTTAGTAATAAAGCGATTCGTTGTATCTTTGTGGGCTATTGTCATCAATCTAAGGGGTATCGGTGTTATGATCCTATTGGGCGTCATATGTATCACAGTCTAGATGTTACTTTTTTTTTAGCATATTCCTTATTTTTCTTCTAGTCTTGTGTCTGCTCCTTCAGTTGAAGATACTCCCCTTGATTTTTCATTACCACAAGAGCCAGAGTCATTGGTCACTATCCCTACAGGGTCATCCGTCTCTCCTCCTCTGAAGTCACTCATCCTTGTCAGTATAGAGTCAACATTCTCTCTTCCTTTACAGGTGTATGTTCGTCGCCTTTGCTCTCATCACCCTGTTGATGTCCTCTTTACCTCAGGCGATGCAGGTAATACTTCTCAGTTTATTGAGCATATTGATGCACCTGTTGTTAGTACTGATAAGTTTGCAGGTGTTGAGCCAGTTCCTTTACTTGATGAGACATTATCAGTGGAGGATGATGATTTAGAGTGTCGTTATCCGCGGCGTGATCGTCGTTCAGTTGATCGTTATGGTTGGACCGTCAGGATTTTATATCCGATCTCTGCTTCTATTTCTTATGGTGATTTGTCTCTTACATTTCGAACTGTCTCTTACATTTCGAGCTTATAGTATGGTCTTATCAGATACGTCAGTTCCTCGCTCTGTTTTGGAGGCTATACGGGAGCCCTAGTGGGTTCTTGTCATGCAGACAGAGATGGACGCTCTTCAGCGTAATCATACATGAGATCTTGTCTCTTTACCTTTAGGAGTGAAGTTTGTTGGTTGTCGCTGGGTTTACACCCTGAAGTTTCTTGCCGATGGTACTATTGATCGTCACAAGGCTAAACTTGTGGCGAAGGGCTTTACTCAGGCATCAGGTCATGAGTTTGGTGTTACATTTGCCCCCGTGGCAAAATTGACTGTTGTTCGATTGATTATTTCTCTGACTGCAGAGTACTCTTGACTTCTTCATCAGTTAGATATGAAGAATACGTTTCTTCACGGTGATCTGAACGAGATTATTTATATGGATGCACCACCAGACTTTCGTGGTAAGGGGGAGTATGCTGGAAAGGTATGTCGACTGTGTAAGTCTCTTTATGGACTGAAATAGTCACCACGAGCCTGGTTCTCTCGCTTTAGTGATGTAGTCGTACATTTGGGGTTCACCAGATGTTATTCTAATCATACTTGCTTTATTCGACGGAATACTTCTGAATAGTGTGTCATCCTTTTGGTATGTGTTGATGATATTATTATTATTGGTGATGATGTTTATGGGACTGCGCAAGTCATGGTAGACCTTGGGAAGGCCTTCGATGTGAAGGACCTTGAATTTCTTCGATACTTTCTTGGGATTGAGGTTGCTCGTAGGAGCAAGGGTGTTGTTCTTTCTCAAAGAAAGCATGTTTTGGATCTTCTTTCAGACACTGGCATGCTGGAGTGCAAACCGGCATCATCACCCATGATTCCAAACCTGAAGCTTACTATTTAAGGTAAGGAGTTGAGAGATCCGACAGTTTATCAGAGATTGGTAGGTAGACTTATCTACTTAGTCAACACTAGGCCGGACATTTCATTCGCAATCAGCCTAGTTAGTCAGTTCATGCACAGGCCGTGTCAGCCTCATCTCGATGCAGTTTATCATATTCTTTGGTACCTTAAGTCTTGTCCTGAACTTGGGTTGTTCTATGCATCAGAATCTCAGACCGGTTCTCTAGCCTGTTATTCAAATTCAAATTATGGGGGAACATGTGACGGTCGATCTACTACGGGCTTCTGTTCTTTTCGAGGGACTCATCTTATCTCTTGGAAGAGCAAGAAGCTGACAGTTGTCTCATACTCGTCAGCAGAGGCAGAGTATCGGGCACTCACACTTGGCACGTGTGAGATTATCTGGCTACAATCGATTCTTGGTGAATTGGGATTTTCAGTGACTTCTCTATCCACATTATATTGTGATAATCGATCTGATATTCAGCTTGCTTCTGACTCTGTACTACATGAGAGGACGAAGCATATAGAGATCAATGTTCACTTTTTTCGGGAGAAGGTTAGCAGTGGTATTGTCACTCCATCGCTCGTGGGGACCAGTGATCAGGTTGCTGATGTTTTTACCCAACCTGTCTGTTACTCTATCTATTATTCAGGACTCCGTTGTCAAGCTTGGCTTAGTTGACATTTTTGCGCCAAGCTTGAGGGGGAGTGTTGGAGATATAGCAGCAGTCTAGTTTATTAGGATTTTATTAAATTTTCTTTTTACCTTTTTGTCTTTATTGTAACTCTCATTGATTATATATACGAGGGCTCTACACTTAGTTTGTATCCCTTTCACTTACATCTATCTCAAGTGGAACAAATTGGCCCGGTTTGATTATATTTTGTTCCCTTTGCTTTGATGGAGTAAGGATATCAGAATTGGTTCTTGCTGCTAGCTCCGTTACTTACGGTGATCATTTTGCAATATATGCAGACTTGTACATTCCGTGACATTTTTTCAGCTAAACAAAATTGTATGAACTAGTGAAAGTCAATTGGTCATTATTTATGGTTTATTCCGTATGCAGGGCAACAGGCGTGTTCTAGCGACTGATGAATGGCTGAAAGTAAAGGGGTGTGAAGACGTGTATGCACTTGGTGATTGTGCCACTATAGATCAGCGTAAAGTCATGGTATATAAGCCTTTGGCCTGATTATTTTATCCCCTATTTAAAGGAAGTACCTTAAAGATGTGCAATTAAATAAACACTTTTTTTTATTAGTGTTGATTATTAAAAATTTCATTCAAGCACTATGATTGTTGATGACTTCATCAGGTTGGCTTTGAGTTGTCTCGTTATTTGACCTTGCTTTGTCAAGCATCATGAACAATCAGAGCCCCTAAACTCTATTGTATGCCTTCCAAAAGTTTAACCAATTGTACTAAGGCCACATTAAACTTATCATGCAAACATATCAACACATGTATTTGTTACACACACACACACACACATATATATATAAGTATATTAATGCATACACACATATACACACTCATCCCCACACAAACCTCCACCTGCCACATCAATATAAATAGGTTTTGAACAAGTCGTCATGTGCATCATTGCCCCACGTGGTATTTTGTGGAGATTTCTATACCCAAATTTAGGGTTCTAGTTCCAACAAGGTTTTTAAGTATTTAAACACAACAAATTTAACATGGTTTTTCTCAAGGATTGTATCATTTTTCACTTATGTTCACTAGTCAGTGGTCTCATGATTGCAAAAACTTCTAAATGTTATCCTGCAGATAATTGCATTATCTCTTCTACATTGTTGTAATCAATTAAACATCATTGTGTTTTAGGAAGATATTGTAAGTATATTTAAGGCCGCAGACAAGGACAACTCTGGTACCCTTACCATTGATGAGGTCAAAGATGTGGTTGAAGACATTATCATTCGGTACCCCCAAGTGGAGCTCTATCTAAAAAGCAAGCATCTGGACGACGTGATGGATCTATTGAAAGATTCTGAAGGAAATTATAGAAAGGAGATCAATATTGAAGAATTTAAGTTAGCTATTTCTCAAGTGGATTCACAGATGAGGAGTCTTCCTGCAACTGCTCAGGTATTTTCCCTGCATTGTATTTTCTTGGTAATACTAGAAATTTAAATCCTTTTGTGGCTTTGTGCTGTCAAAGAGAGAATTGTGAAGCTTTCATGTAATCTTTTGGCACATTAGGTTGCTGCTCAACAAGGTGCATATCTTTCTAGATGCTTTAACCTTAGAGAGGGGTCCAAAACTAATCCAGAAGGCCCTCTCCGATTTATAGGCTCTGGGCGGCATGAATTTCGTCTCTTCCGGTACACCACCTTTCAAGGCTTATCTTTGTTGATTCACTTCACCATTATTTGCAGCACTTTCTGGTAATTTGACAATTGATTTCTGAAGTGAAAAATTTGTTAGGGGACATCCCTTCTACATAATCAACCGGGGAAAAATATCTACCGAAGTTTAGTCCCTCTAGTCCACAGAATCTACATAACCACTTAGTCCTTTGTTCGGATCCTCTCAGATGATGGGTCCAAACATAGTCAAGTTGCTTAATCCTTAGAACTGCATAGCATAGAGTTCTCTCCCAAATGGCCGGCCTTTCCTTTCCCCCCATTTAGTTCCCCCAAGAAATTTTGTCTGTGTGAAAATGGCTTAGCTGGTCTAGCACAGCCAGTGTCCTAGACAATGGCGGGTTCCCCAAGGTCTCAAAAATTGTATTTTCTACCAACGAATTTTATTTTATTTTCTATTTGGTCCCCCAACTCCGAAGTTTATGGTTTGGCCCCCAGTTCCAGAGAATAGATACTAACTCCTGATACTAGGAGATGAAATTTTTAAAAAAACTTGTTAAATGTCTGAAATTTTCTACATGCCATTTTCTTTCTGCCATTCTTTTTTTTTTTAATTATTTTTTTTTCCTTTTGCCATTCATTAACCATTACATCACCGTTAACTTGGACACCAGGTACAGGTATTCCGGGCAATTTGCACCTTTGGGCGGAGAGCAGACAGCAGCAGAACTGCTGGGCGACTGGGTTTCCGTAGGTCACAGCACACAGTGGCTCTGGTATTCTGTTTATGCAATGTGGTCATTACTCTTTCCATGAATTGCATTTGTTTTCCTGTAGAGCCAGTAATGTTTATGTGCTTCAATGTATCTAATTGGCCAATTTATTGTGATATTTAGCAAGCAAGTTCCAGACGTATTTAAGGCAAAAACATGGTAATTAAAGGACTGAAGGAAACGCCTAGTTCTCCACTCTTTGGTTTGCTGCTTCTAATACATATGACTTTACCCCAATGCCATCATCTATGAATATGAAAGATCCCAGCTTCTCGAAGAGGCACTCGCTGAACTCCCCAAAAAATCCCCCAGTGTGTGTGCATGAGAGAGAGAGAGAGAGAGAGAGAGAGAGTTGTATTGTGTTTTTTTGACTGAAACGATAGAATACAGTTTGTACACCCAGTGTGAATGTTTATCGGTTTCAATTAAGTTTGTTTTGTGCATCATTTTGAACTGATGTACCCACCATGTGTCACCCTTAAACTATGAATATAACTTTTGTGCTGAGGATGAGGCTGAACTGGTGTGTGCTTGTTTTTCCCTTTTTTGAGAATATTAGAAATGAATTTAAGTGAGTGATATTCCTTATATTAAGGATTTATTTGTTTTGTAAAGTAGATGTGAGTTGATAAATGTAAGTGGTGTCATGGTGTGGTCAACCAAAGAAACCTCTCGTAAGGATTGCTCCCAAATCTTTAATGATGTTGAGATTTAAAATTTTGATTTAATTTATTAATTTAATGATATGTTTGGTGATAGAATTTTAATATACAAGTCCAATAGTTAGAGGTAGGGGTGTTAATCTTGTCGAGTCGTGTTATTTTCGCGATGTCACTTTCGGTGGTATTATTTTTGGTATGTGTTGTATTCATATCAATAAAAATTTATTTAATTTTGTAACATCTCATATGAAACTATGTAAAAAAATTATAAAACAACTATTTTCTGTCTACATTATTCATTAATTGTGTTATTTGTGTAACATTATTTTGACTAATTTATCATTCGTGTCAATTAATCATGTTATTTTCTAGTTTTGTGTCAGACTGAATTCGTATAGGGTTCGTGTCAATAGGTAAAATTGATACTCTAGCTAAAGGTATAATAATTCTATTGAACCATGTGCATGTCACCGTCACATTATTAAGTCAGCCAAGTATATCAGATTTTAAGGTTCAAATAACATTACTCCTTTAGTTTTTAACTAATAAAAACAAAAGACAAAAAATAACATTACAAATTACAATTATAGCATGCAAAAACACCAACAAAAATCTCAATCCTTTGTCTCATTTATTACTACTTATTAAGTAGGAGGCGAATGTAGTGTCTCAATCTCTTACAACTAATCACCCCAACTAAAATGTTTATGCAATTTCTCAAAATTTTTCATAACCGTTTTAATCTATTTTTAGCTCTTACTTTTTAACATATGATGCAAAAAATAATCAATTTTTTTAATTCAACAATTTTGTATATTTTCTTGCAATGAATTTATTTTTGTTTTTTTTTGCTAAATTAATTATACAAGGAGTCAAGTTACGACAATATATGTATATAGTTGTAGGTTGTGGCATAATTCAGGTTAGACTTAATAATTTTGGACATGATTGAAATTAATGAACTTAAATTTAGTCTTTGTGAATTCAGCCGAGGGTGTGAACTTGTTAGATTCATTAAATAAATGTATTGACACAAATATATATATATATATATATATATATATATATATATATATATATATATATATATAAAATAAAGTAGATTATAATTTAAATTTCTAAAATAAACAAAATGACCTTTATTTTTCGCGGTTGAAATTACTTTAAATTTTACTTTAAAATTAATCTAACGGCTAATATTAACACCCTAAATTTAATAAGAAAACTAGGCCCCTAAAGAGAATTTGGAGTGATTTTTTAAAAGTATTTTTACAAATTATTTCTCATAATTATTTTTAAACTATCGTCGCGGCGGCCGCCGTTGCCACTACCGCCATCACCATCGACACCGTCACTACCGTCGTCATTGTTGCCACCACCATCGCCACCACGATCATTAATATCCACTACAATCATCATCATCTCTTATCATCATCACTGTCGCCCACCACTTTTCACCCCCATTACAACCGATACTTAAATTCATTTATCTCTCTCTCTATGTTTGTGATTTGATTTTGTATATGGATACAAATATATTTACTGTTTACCATTTTTTATTACTCTGTGTCATTAGGTACAGGCAATAACTAGTAACTAAATATGATGCAAGCCCATTATAAACGTTGTATACAAAACTTGAACCTGTTTATACATACATTCTTATAAATTAACTAGGTATAAATTAAATAAACTAAACAAATCTCACACCAAACAGTAATAGCTCTAGAACATGTGCAATCTATTTAATGTCACAGCTATGAAGTTTAATTCTTAACTTAGAAAAGCATAATGATAGTTAAAATTGATATAATTTTTATCTACTTAATTCGATTCAATAGTATAAAATTTATTTTTTCTGTACTGTCTTTAATATCACACAATTCAAACAATATACTCCTCAATTATAATTTTTTTTTTTAATCGCAGAAACAAGCATGATACAATATTTATAAGTAATTGGCTATGAACAAACAAAAGGCAGAAGCACCCCGAAGGAGAAAACTATCATTCCGTATATCTACTTACAGGTTGGTATATTGTATACATTTAGTTAATCTATGTGAATGGTTTGAGGTGTTTCAGCATTCACATTTTAAATCAACAGTGCGTTTTGTGTACAAAGAGCCCAAAGCTGGAACTTCAGCTTGCGAAGAGGAGACTGTCGTAGACAGAGGCTGGAAATTGGTATTCCCAACAAACCAGTAGAGAGCCCATTTCAAATTGCAGAGTGTGTACTTGAGAGCTTTCGTCCAATTCTCCTGTTTGTTGCAGCTCTGTGTGATCGAATAGTTTTCCACTCTATCATTCTCAATTTTGTACGGCAGCTTGAAACATTTCTCAGGTGGTATGTTGTTTTCCTTATCCTTAGAATTTGCAAACTCTGCAAACTCCTTTAAGCAAGTCAAAAACAGCGTCATTGCTTTGTCGTAACGCGTGCTCCAAAAAAGGTTCACCGGACCAAATAGTTCATAAGTATTATTGCTGGTGTCCATAATTCGAGGATAACTACCCATAGGAAGAATTTTTATCCGATATTGGAACTTCGGCAGAAAATATTGAGCCATTGTATGGAGAAGAAGGCAAGCTTGGCCCCACGCAGCATTCATCTCGTCCCACTCAACCGGAATTTTTGGAAGTCTTCCCAGCCGAAAGTTGATAATTGTTCCAAATTCTCCATCATACCAGATGGGGAAAGCATCATTGAGCACATTGGTGCGCTTCAACAACTCTAAATGTGCTTGTGAAACTTCAATTTTTGCCAAAATTGCATCCCTCTCTTCCTGATGCGAAATTAATTGAAAATGAAAATTATTGAATTCATGCCAATACCGCTCCTCCAGCTCTGTAAATCGACTAGATTTCAACTCCAGTTCCTTCAATTCAGCAGTTACTTCCACACATTGTTTCTCTGTTTCCTTAATTGCTGCTTCAAGTTTCTGTTCTTCTTCTTCTATATTTATTTTTTCTTTGAGGAAATCAGCCTCGCTAAGGACACTTCGTGTTTCCCCCTCCATCCGTTGAAGGCAGTCTTCATATGCTTTTATGTCCCTACTTACCTCTTCAACCTCCTTATCAAGGTTGTCAGATAAAACCCTCATGCACTCAAGGCACAAGGGTTGCTCAACCTGTGTCTGGGCAGTTGCAATATCAAATGCACGCTTCAGGACAGTTATGGTGGAATGAAAACCGGAATTGTTTGGCTGCAAAGGAGCAAAAGTAGGTCCACCCTCAGGTGACTGAAATTGGGTTCCACCTCCATCGGATGTAGATTCGCAATTGTATACAGAAGCTGCAGGTGGAGGCAACACCACAAATGATTCTTCCATTGTCTTCCCAGGCTGATTTGTGTCCAGGGGAATACCTCCACCACGAGGCCGAGGAGGGACTCTTGGTGGCAGATTTCTTTGCTTTGGCAACTCAACAAAAGAATGGTCCATACGTGTTGAACCTAACATATTACTAGCCCCATGGACTGAATAACCCTGCACACCGGAGCGAGAGGCGGAGGAGAAAGAGGAATCGGTGTTCAAGAATTTGTCGGCGTAAGAGTCGACGCCGACGATGCAAGGCTGCGACGACAGTTCTGGCAGACCCATCTCGGAAGGTTCGGATCCACCGGTAAGGTCCGACCCTTATCCCCAAGATTATCGTTGTTGTTGTTCTTCATGAATTTCTTTTCTTTGCCCTAAGCCCCAATTTGCATCAACTCACTCTGATAGAGATCAGCCTTCTTTTTCCTTGTAGTGAGAGGTAAAGGGTAGAATCGTAACAGTCGGGAATTCGTTTTTCCTCCCCAATTATAAATACTATATTAATTTACACCAACATCTCTTTTTCTCTTTTTTATGTTAAAATTATGTAATTAAAAAAATTATTTAAAATATAAAAATATTTATATAATTAATATTCAACTTTTAGTAATGCAAAGGTATACTATATAGCAATATTACACATGAAACTAGGGTGCACCTTGGGTTAAGCAACCCGATTTCAACCCGAGTCCAATCAAAAAAAATTAGGGTTTAGGCAAGAATTTTTAATACTTGGGTTGGGCTTGAGTCAAAAAACTCCAACCCGAATTTAATTTGGATTGGACTCGGATTAAAGTCTCGTGAACCCGAGTTCAACCCGAATCCGACAAATAAAAAAAAATATATATATATATATATATATATATATATATATAGTATTAGCACTGATTTTTCATTTTTGTTCTATCGTTCTCTGTCTCTCTTGTTCTCTTTGTTTCTCTCGTTAAAAACTTGGTTAAAGTTATTAATTATTAATCTAGGTGAATATTATGTAATATATGTATTAGATTTAGAATAACAAGTCTATTTTAGACTTTATCCGAATTGAATTTGTAAAATAACTCAAAATCATCGACCTGAGCCCGCTGGAATTAAACTCGAACAGTGCTTGGATTGAGTTTCCCAGCTTAAGATAGGGTTAGGATTAGAATTAGAGTTGAAAATTATATACGTATAATTAAGTTAGAGTTGATTGTTCAATCCGCCCGAATTATACTACGTAAAACAAAAAAGTTTCCTCTCTCATGCAATCTCCCAAAACAGGAATATATATCTTCCATCACTATTATACAACCTTTAGTATAGTGGAGCCCACTAAATCCTTGTCTCACGGCCTAAGAACCGTTAGATTAGTAGACTTTTCGTCAAAGGACCCGAATCTCACGGCTGGGGAACTCTCCGAACGCTTTGTGGTCCCAGTAATTACACAGGCCACTGTCCACTCCTAATATAAAGGAGATCTCTGTCTCATGTGTCCTACTTTTAAGGTTTGAACATTGAAAGCCTTATTACGTGACAGTTACTCCACAGCTCTAGCCTCTTTTATAGACGAAAACACACACTATTTCACACATAGAAAGAGAGAGAAAAAAAGGAAAGGAACTGCCATTTCCATTTTCAGACTATCCCTTTTTAACCCTTTAAGAAGAACAAGAAGGACAGAGAGAAAATAAGAAATACAATGAGTGGGTATAGGTTCTACCAGAGAGCCTCAAGGGCTTTTCATGACTACCCTTCACTGTCTAAACTTGGTGTTCTCGTCGCTGTCAGGTCTTATGCTCTTCCTTTGATCTGTTTATTATCGTATATTCGTCCATTTGTTGTTTAATATGTTCTAGTTTTTATTCTTGTTCTGTGGGTTTAGACTAGAATGCTTAGTAGATTTGTGGTTGATGAAACATGTTTGCAAGTATCGTCGGTAAATGGATGCTTAATGGGTTTTTACCTGTCTCCTAGTTAACTCGTTCGAATTCATGTGTGGCGATTGGTTATAGGATCTGGCTGCGGCCCTGCTGGTATGGGATCTAATGGATTAAGATCCTCTTCATTATTTTTTTACACAATTTTATTTAATGACATATCGCTCACCATATATTCACGTAGGACTCAATATGTATATGTGGACCCATTACCCATACACAATGGATAATTTTCCATTGTGTAAATTTGTGTGGAAAATTAATAGACATGATCACAGCAATTGCAAATTAAACATATAGGTCTATTTTAATGGTTTGGGCTGTATATTTATGCTAAACAAATGGGATACTTGAGATTTTACATGAAGACAATCTCACATACAAATACGCTATAAATAATCTCTAATAGTTTCTTGGCGAAATCTACTAGGGATGGCAGTGAAATGAGGAAAAACGGGAATTCGTTCAAACTCGTGTCATATAAGAGAATACTCGTATTGGAATGAAAGCGGGGATGGACTGAAACTCCTCCCCGCCCTGGCCCTCTCCGCTAAACCCGTAATATATATACACACACACTTGTTATACATATTATTTTTGTAAGTTTATATGTTTTTGATCCATTTGTTATATAATGAGTTTTCATCCTTCTTATAAATTCATTTGGGAGTTTTTGTGATTTTTTAAAAAAAAAAATTTAAAAATTATAGAAATTAATTGTTATGGGTGGGGACAATGACAAGGACGGGAATCAAAATTTACCAGCGGGGCAAAAACAAGGATTTAAATTTCCCCCACTAATGGGGTGGACGGAGGGTAGATGAATATTTTTGAAGCAGGTATGGGGGTGGTGACTACTCTCGGCCCCCGCCCCCGCCCCCGCCCCAGGCTATTACCATCCCTAGATTCTACGTATGAGAATTTCAAGGTGAAAGCAGGGAAAAAAGGAAAGGAATTTTTTTTTTTAAACAGTTATTTTGTTCTCTTCAAAATTTTCTTAATGCTGAAATTCTTCCCCAATTTTACATTTTGTATGTCCCAAATTACTACTATGAGGTTGCAAGGCAATCTTATTTTCACTCCCTTAGAAGTATCTATGTTTTACGTAGATTGATTCAAAAAGGAAGGTATTTGTTTTCTGATACATTTGAGTTATTGCAAGTTAAGATTGTTTTTATGCTTCCTTTTCTTGTTTGCTTCTTCACTCTTACTTCATTCCATTTTTCTCATTTTATCTAAGGTCCGATCATTTTGAAGAAATTTAGATTCAGACTAGATGTATAGTTAACCCATTTGATGTACCTAATGGGTTGTCACCTCTCAAATGCCTATCGGCTCAGTATTTCTATTTTCCACTTGCTCTTTCCTTCACAATTCAAATCTTGTTCCTGGGATTTCTCACATGCTTTGCTTTGGATTATGCAGTGGTGGTGGGGGTCTAGTGGTTCTTTCTGACGCCGGACCATTCCATAGTGCATATGCTGATGCAGGTCAAGCTGATATGAAGAAAAAGAAAGTGGTTGTACTTGGAACTGGTTGGGCTGGTACAAGCTTCCTGAAGAACTTAAAAGATCCCTCGTATGATGTTGAGGTGGTGTCACCGCGTAACTACTTTGCATTTACTCCATTGCTGCCCAATGTTACGTGTGGCACTGTTGAAGCACGCAGCATTGTTGAACCAATTCGCAATATTGTGAAGAAGGTAGGAATACATATTAAACTATGTATTATATTGAGAGCTATATGTGCTTGTGGTTTGCCCCCCAACATCTTAAATTTATTCCAATATTAGATTTAGAATTTGTGATGTAAGTAGCAGTGGGCACGTTCCCATTTACATCCCACGTCATTTCATTATCCAATTTGGTTCTCATTTATTGAGTAAGCTGAGATTGGATAGAGACCTAATATTTCGCATAATATGCACGAAGTGGCTCCCTTCAAATGTGAAATCACAATCGTTTTACTCCATGTATCAAAACAATTTCCTTTCCTGCTCTGAGTGCTTCATCGGCATATGTGAAAGGTTGCATGACCTAGTATTGCTTGGAGATTCAGCAGAGTTTGCATGCCATTCTAGCATATTTAAACTTGATAAGAGGTTATTTTCCTGTCATAAAGGTTATTTTCCTGTCATAGTATGGCCAATGGAGATACTAAAAATGTGCTATCCTTGTTCTTCTCGTGGCAGAAAAAATTTGATACACATTTCAGGGAAGCTGAATGCTTCAAGATTGATACAGAGAAGAAGAAAGTCTATTGTAGATCTAGCCAGGAAACTAATTTGGGTGGGAGAGAAGAATTCACAGTAGATTACGATTACTTGGTGATTGCCATGGGAGCTCGCTCAAATACATTCAACACACCTGGTGTTGTGGAGAATGCCCACTTTTTGAAGGTACTTAACAGGATTACCATGTTTATTTCCTCCAATTCATATCAACAGGTTCTGTGCCTCACTGAACAGATTTCTGGGATACAATAATAGATCGAATTCTAAGAAAATTCTACCAGTTGTTGATATTCTCATATCATTAACAATGTAGTTACATTGAAATCTCCGATGTCACTATTACATAAATGAAGATTCAATATTTGTTGCAGGAAGTAGAAGATGCTCAGAGGATCCGTAGGACTGTAATCGACTGCTTTGAGAGGGCAAGCCTTCCTAGCGTAAGTGAAGAGGAGAGGAAGAAAATTCTGCATTTTGTAGTAGTTGGAGGTGGTCCAACTGGTGTGGAGTTTGCAGCAGAGCTTCATGATTTTGTAACTGAAGACTTGGCAAACTTATACCCCACTCTAAAAAACCTTGTGAAAATTACACTTCTTGAGGCAGGTGGTCATATACTGAACATGTAAGCAAAGTTATTATACTTCACAAATCTAAAGTACATTTTTGGGACTTCTTAAAAGTCTAGTTGACATTTGACATTATTTTGCTTTGTGGCACATCTGTTTCTTCATGTGTGACTTCTATCATTCGGTTATTCACTTTCACACTTGCTTTGGCGCTGGCTTTGCAGGTTTGACAAAAGAATTACTGCCTTTGCTGAAGAGAAATTCCAAAGGGATGGAATTGATTTGAAAACTGGATCAATGGTTGTAAAAGTAACTGACAAAGATATATCTACAAAAGAGAGAAGCACTGGCCAAACCCAGTCTATACCATATGGAATGGTTGTATGGTCAACTGGTATAGGTACTCGCCCAGTTATTATGGATTTTATGAAGCAAATTGGACAGGTTTGTTGCTTTAGATTTGTTGCCCTATATTATCTTTGCCTCTCCAATTGATTTTTCTTTCTTCTTCTTGGCATTTAACTTTGTTCCTAAACTATGTTTTCTGTTTTCCTAGTCACAATGAACTTCTGCATGCTGTTGAAAAGTGTAAGCTTGTATTCTTTGGATTGCAGACTAATAGGCGAGTCTTAGCAACTGATGAATGGCTGCGGGTAGAAGGATGTGACAGTATATATGCTCTAGGCGATTGTGCCACCATAAATCAACGTAAAGTCATGGTATGCATCATCTAGTCTCTATTTAAACCTCAACACATGAGAGTGTTGAACAGAGAGCTTACTGCATTTGTAGTACATTCCACATTTGGTTTTAGTCTACCATAATTGCGTCCTATTTAACTTCTCTTGCAGCCTCCATGCCTAAAATTGATGCTGGCTTTCATGAAAGGTTTTCCGCATCATTTTGTTCAGTTCCTTTGTTTTTGGTATAGGGAGCTAGATTTCAGAGAAAGGGAACTGGTCAACATTCTTTCTGAAATGCTCTGTGCATTTCAGAGAGAAATTCCATAATTCTCAGAATCTATTAATGAAGATAGCATGCCTAAAGCCTCCATTTTATTGTTCTAATTTTCAACTTGTTAATCTCATGTAAATGTCCGACTAAGTATTTTATATTTGCAATTCTGAACACAACTAGTATAACTGAGATTTGGCTAGTAGTGCCTCAAGATTTTAAAAGTTCAAATAATTTTTTATGTTTTCACTTGTTCAGGAAGATATTGCAGCAATATTTAGTAAGGCTGACAAAAATAAGTCTGGGACCCTAAAAGTTGAGGATTTTAAAGAAGTCATTACTGATATCTGTGAAAGATATCCTCAAGTGAACATCTATTTAAAGAGGAAGCAGTTAAAAGATTTTGTTGAGTTACTGAGAAGTTCTCAAGGAGTTGCTGAATTGGATATTGAAAAGTTCAAATCAGCACTTTCTGAGGTGGATACGCAGATGAAAAATCTTCCTGCGACAGCACAGGTGAATTTTCCAATTTCTTTGTGGTGAATATATATCAATTATCAAGTCCTTTGTGCTGATGCTGTTCTGCTGCCTCTGTATACCCTGTGTTGTTTTCCTACGTTTTAGGTAGCTGCTCAACAAGGTACTTACCTTGCTGACTGTTTCAATCGTATGGAGGAGTGTGAAAAGCATCCTGAAGGTCCATTAAGGTTCCGTGGAACAGGACGCCATCGTTTCCACCCCTTCAGGTATGTAAACTTTGTCATCTACAATTCAGATTTATTACCATCACAACTACTCTCATACATAAAAATGCTTAAGATGAATACAGTTTGGAGCCACAGGAATATGAAAGCCATATTAATTTCATTTATGCATAATTGTTAATGAAGTTTTGTCACTTAGATGCGGTTTCATTTTTCACTTTCTTTTTCCCTCTTGGTCGTTTGGTCTTGGAGCACATTGCAAAAGAATAAACTTCTGGAAGCTCATAACTGTTATTAAGATTTCATATGTTCCTCTCTTCTCCTGACCAATAAGAGTTTGTTCTTCTAAATTCTTGTGTATCAACAAGGGATATCTTATGATGGACTTTGTAGATGCAAAAATACTACTTTTTTTTGTTACCAAAATGGCTTAAGCTTCTATAAACTAGTTAGATATGTCTGAAAGATTAGTGATTGGAAAACACTTTATTTGTGTAGTAACACTGTAGAGTTTTTTTTTCCATAACTGAAGTGATATGCTCTGTATGATCAAAGGTATAAGCATTTGGGCCAATTTGCTCCACTGGGTGGAGAACAAGCTGCAGCTCAACTGCCTGGGGATTGGGTTTCAATTGGTCATAGCAGCCAGTGGCTCTGGTACTCGGTGTATGCAAGGTAATATTATCTGATATGCCTGTGTGTTCTTTGATTTTTGACAGCTCAATCTATGTTATGTAACAATCGCTAACCATATTGTCACTCACTATACCATTCAGCAAGCAAGTCAGCTGGCGCACAAGGATGCTGGTGGTATCTGACTGGGGAAGACGGTTCATTTTTGGAAGGGACTCGAGTAGACTCTGAGATAAGTGGGGATCAGAACACATACTCTACCAGAAATGTGTCATTACCATGAACTTTCTGTAATCAACACACCACAGAGAAAATTGTCTTATTTCTGATTCAGAGTCGAACATTTTTGTTCCACTATTCTTTACATTAATATATGTTCTAGTATTGGATCTTGGTTTTTCCAGTTCTAATATGTCCTGATGCTGATTTTCCTGTCTATTTAATATTAATGCAATAAGCTCACTTAACCACCTGGTTTCTGCTTATCACTCTAGCAATTCTTTGGGTTCTTGACAGGCTAGTGAGTGTGTCTGTTATGGTTTTATGTCTCGAAGGTGTCACATATGTCAGGTGGAAACCACCACCTTTTTATCTATAGAACCATATGTGGATTCCTCACCAAATTGATCTCGTACTCAGTATTAATTCCCAATAATCCATGCTGACGATAAATATCACTTCAGGCGACATGGATGGAAGATTTCATTCTTCTATTTTTGTCCCCTACAAATGGGATGACTAGCATATCAATCTACATTCATGATATCAGTGCAAGCAATACCTGAGACCAAAGTAAAGAAGTTAAATCTGAAGTAATATTTGTAACTAATGTGAAAGTTTACTGTGAAATGCAGCACTTTCTGTGGTAATGTTTTTAGCATGAGTTCTGACAGAAGGCAATCGAGCCAGTTACCTCAACAAAAATTATTTGCTGTGGAAAATGGGGAGCGGAATTGAATGTGAATGAAGGTGTTCTTAAGATTTGAAGCAAGGTTCTGTTTACTCTCACCAAGGATTATATAGCCTAATTGATTGCAATTAGCTGCTGGGGACTGTAAAATGCTTGCATGATGATTAGAACAAAGAGATGCCAAAAAGATATCCAAGAAAAGGCTTGCAACGAGCCACATGAAAGATCTAAACTCACCTTTCAGTAAAAAAAAAAAAAAAAAAAAAGTAGTCTAAATTCTGCCTAAAAGGCTCCTGGAGAATTATTTAACCTCAAAACAAGATCAGGTGGTTGCATCAAGGAATGATATATTGTGGCTTGAACGTCATTAGTTCAAATCCTGGATAATAGCCTCCCCACACAGGGCAAGACTCTGTATATGTGATGCTCTACAGACTCTCTATGGGGCCACCTTTATTAAGACTATTAGTTTTACTTCAAAATAAAAAGTAAGCCCTACCTCCTAGGATCACAAGTTTAAAGTTCCTTTTTTGCTATTCACAATCATGGTGATAAAAACAAACCTATCAAACACCAGCAAAGTGGAAATGGAAAGCAATAGAAAAGCTCATCTCATGTTGTTCTGACAAAGACAGAATTCAATAGTCTTACACCCCATTGAGAGGAAGCAAGAGTGAGCTTGCCCCATTTTCACACAGATCTAACCAAGCAAGAGAAAAGCTTATCCCAGTGATACCATATTAGAGAAAAAGCTCAAAGAACATTAAGGAAGCACAAGAATGCTTACCCCATTACTCACACATCAATGAATCCAAATTCAAAAACTGAACTGAGAAATGAAAGATGACAGAATTCCCCAAATTCCATTAGTTTTCTTCATCATCTTCCTCTACAAAGCTGAGGGCTTGACAAACTGCTGGCTCCACCTCTTCATCATTGCAGAAGTAAGATATCCTCCCAATCAAGTCAACAACTCTTTTTGCAGGCCCCGAGTCCCGGGGACTCTCCTTCATGCACCGGGCAGTCCTGATCCTCGGAAGCAAATCAGGCATTGCAGTAATGGAATGAGGCAACTTGTCATCTTCCAAATTCTTACAAACCACTATTTCACCAGGAATTTCCCACCTCTTCTTAACCCGACTCTCAGTACCTTGGTGAATTTCTATTTCTGGTAGAGTTTCATGTGAATTTCCAACAGATAGAGACCTTTTCTTATCACAGTTCTTACTCTCATCCTTATCATTTTCTGGCAGAGATCGCTTCCTCAGTGCTGAATTCCCAATAGACTGAACTGTGCTCTGATTATACCGACTTGCCACGACCCTCCCAGGCCTTAATGGCTTCTTAGCAGGAACAGACTTCTCTCCATCTCCAAACAACTTCTTTGGCTGAATTGAATTCACAACCCCATCTTCTTTTTTCACAGCCTTTTTCACTACCATAGTCGTAGCAACTTGTCTTGAATCTTGAGTCTTGGTAATAGTTTTTCTCGATTTAGGGCCAACACTGAAACTCTTCCTTCTTTCTTTTGTCACCTTCTCTTCATCAATGTCTTGCAACTTCCAGAAGCATGATTTTCGCCGATTCTGTATTGGTTGAACAGGGGTGATCTCTTGCTTACCCACTTGCCGGGACTTCATTCCGGCAACGATCTCCGATGGACCCAGACTGACCCCCCTACGTGCTCCGGCAGCGATCTCTGATGGACCCAGACTAAGTCCCCTTCTCTGGACCTTTGTTCTAGCACTCAATTGCAAAGTTTCTTCGATCTTTTTCACTGAATCTGTGTTTTTAACACTCTGTTTCTGCTCCATAAACTTCGCCGGCACTACCCTTCCTCGCTTCTCCACTACCTTGGCATTTTTCTCGAGTTTTTCAATTTTCAGAGCCTCCAATCTAGACGATAATCGACAAATTTCTTTCTCAATCTCCTCGATTTCCTTATCAATCTTCTTTTCATCTCGAACCCCTTCTTCTACTTTACTTTTCAAAACCACCTTTTCAAGATGACCCTCTTTGGAGTAATTTTAGTTTGCTTCAATTGCGAGTTCTTGATAGTACTGTTTGGCTGAAGTGGCTTGATGGGTATCGGAGTTTTGACAGAAACAGAGGAATTCTCAAGCAGAGGACTTTGATTTTCTTTGCTCGATACAGACTCAAAAGACTCAGACCGATTAACGAAAATGGGTTTCACTGGAGACCAAGAAACTATTAATGCAGTCGAGTCTTCGGACTCACCATTGTCAAAGGCTGCATTGTTCCATACCTGAAGATTCGGGGTGTTCAAGGCTTCTGGGTATTGAATAACACTCATCTTTCTGCAATGGGTTTCAAAGATTTTAAGAGGGAGAGAGTGTTGGTGGTGTGTTCTTGGTTTCTTGGAGGGTTCTTGATAGATCGTGATTCAGAGGGAGAAGGAGCGAATTGAGAAAGGCATCTAAATTTGGGGAAATTTCTTTGTATTTTGAGTTTTTTGACCGTTGGGAACAAAAAAATTAAACGTTGTGATGTCCGCTCCATTCTGGCCGTGGGATGTTAAACGGTTCTCATAGACGCTCCGATTTGATTTAAAGCCCAAATTGTCAAAGCCACGTTGAACTTTATTACCATTTTATCCCTTCATAAACATAGTTTTTGGCTTTAAATCCTCCATTTCTCAAAAAATTGAAAAATCTCTTAATTCTTTTTGAATGATGAGTATTTTTATTTTTATGTCAACAAATTTTATCTTATTTAATAAATATTTTGAATTTTAAACTTGAAAATAAATTAAATTTGAAAAGATCGTATACGAACCTAGTTATTTTAAGTGTGTACCGTTTACTAATAAATATTACTTAGAACTATTTTTTTTATTAATTGTGTTATTTTCAAGCCTATTCGTGTAAATTATTTATCAAAAAATTAAAGTTCAATGCTTTTTTTTTTTTTTTCTGTCAAACAAATGTATTGTACAATAAGTCAAGCAATGTTACGCAGACCTTATTTGGTTACCTTATCATATCTCTGTTATTAGATTGATGGTGGACCCCACTATTAGTTAAGACTCACTATTAATTCAATAACTATGATCCATCGTGTCACTATATAAACATTTTCAATCTTTACCTTTTTTTTAACTCAAATTTAAATTTAAGTAAAAAATTCTTAAAAACCTTCTCTAATACTAGACTAATGTCTATCTCAAATGAAAGGAGACTCGTTTTTTTATTTAAATCCATACCAAATCATTTTTTTTAAAAAAATTGGTTTAAAAATGGGCAAGAATTGAAGATGCTCACTAAATTAGGTAGAAAAAGTATTTTCCATAGCATAAATGATCATCTTTTATTATTAGAAGATTTTCTTAGCTAATAAGTTGAAATCAAATCTTACCAAATACAAGAATTGATATCTCATATCCTCATAAACTAAATTCTATGTTCTTTTAGGTCTAATTATTATAACCATTTCTTCATTGTAAGATCATCCCATGAGAGACCCAAACTTTTACAAAAAGGTAAAAAATTTGATTTAGTATATACATTTCCAATAGAAAAATTCAAATTTAAAGAAAGAGATATCTTTTTTTTTTAAATGAGCACAAACTCAAATTTAAAAGAGAGTAAATATGACAATTGAATTTTTAAAGGAGGGTGTAATTTCACCATTGGTGAAAAGAGAAAGGATTTGAGTTTCCCTTTATTTAGATTTTAAAAAACGTTTTTCTTCATTTGGTATCTATATGAGACTGGCATTAGAGAAGATTTTTAAGAGTTTTTTTTATCTTTTTTAAAAAAGATGGTACAAAAAAGGTAGGAGTTGGAGATGCTCTAATAGTAATGTACATCAAACCCACCATTCATAAAATTGTTTATAAATTAAAAATCCACTCAATGCTAAAAAAATTAAGTAAATAAATCATCTTTAATGGATCATATAGTACTTGATAAAAGCAAAAAAAAATTAATTTTTCCATCAAATTTTGGTTATGTAAGTTGTGTCAAAATTAAATTATTTATATTTAACATTAATCATACCCAATTATATGTTAGGAGAATACAATTTCTAGGTTTATAACAAAAAACAATCAACTTTATTTTGTTAATTACATAGGCAATTTTATATTTTATTTATGTCAAATTTTTATCGAGTTTAAGTAATAATAAAGACGAATTATAAATCTAGATGTCATGAGTTCGAATCTTGATAATTTTTTGGGGCAAGGTTATAAGAGATTTATTCCTCATAAGTTGACCCGAAACACCCCGAACCATTGAAACAATAAAAAAAGGGGTTAATTAGAGACTGTCGGAAGAGGTGTCAAACTTGTCGGATTAAATGGTTATATGCCGGGTTAAACAGATAAAAAATCTCAACACGAACATGACCTATTTAATAAACGGGTAACACGACACGACTCGTTTAACCCGTTTAATTTAAAAAAAATTATATTAACAAATTTTAATACTCCATTTTTTTATTGTTAATTGCACTTATCTAAAAAAAGAAGAATTTTTAGTCAAATCTCACAAAAATAAGACTTTAAGACTCAAAAAAAAAAAAAGAGGTCATTGTTTTTTATAGACAACTCAACTCTCTCCATCTCCCTTCATTTTTTAATGTGGGACAAAAATAAAAGGCATTGGTTTGCCTTTGTCTTTGAAGTACTCCTCATCTTCTCTCTTTTGTTTTTGAACTACTACTTTACTTCTTCTTTTTATTGATTTCTTTAGTTTTTTTTCTTGCTAATTTTTTTAAATAATTATTAATTTATTATTATATTAATTTTATTTAAATGGGTAAACTTGTGATAAATGGTTTGACAGGTCTCACCCGAACACGACCCGTTTATTAAACGTGTTTAGCGTGTCAACCCGTTTATTACCCAAACCCGTTAAGATCTTACCAAAATCCGCTTAATTCATGTTGATTCGTGTCGGTTAATCATGTCGTGTCAAATTTTTGACAGTCCTAATTATCGGTCCACAGTTGTGAAATTTTAAGACAATTAATTCATGCACATAATTTTTGGGGCTTAAAGTACAATTAAAGGCATAAAGACTAATTTACACATAAATAATTATCTATACTACTAATAAAAGTACCTTAAATGAAATTTTTTTGAATCTCTATTTTACCTTTATAAAAGATTGTAAAGACTACTCTATCTTTTTAAAATTAAATATCTAAATTGCTATCATATCCTTATATATTTAAATCTCCAAAATAACTATAACATCTCTTTTCATTATTTATTCTTTATGTATAAATATTTATTTTTTGATTAATTATCTTACCCTTAAAAAAATATGCATAAATATATTTTCAATAAATTATTCGCAAAAAACTTCATCTTTCTAATATTACTCATTATATATATATATATATAAAATTTTTCGTCGAAAAGTTAAACCCTTTCATTTTTAAGATAAAAAATAATCATATATATAATTTTTTAAAACCAATTTATGTTATTTCAATATAATTTTTCAGTCACAATAAATTTTAGGATAAATTACATTGGCACTCATGTAAATTGGTCTAATTACAGGGACAACTCCTCAATTTTTTGAAATTACACTGATACCCCATGTTAGGTCTTGTCCCTTAACAAATATAAAAAAAAAATGTAACTTTTCATAATTATTCTTACCATACATACATCATTTTTTTTCTTGTCATCCTCTCATATATTTAAATACTAATATATGAGTCATTTTTGGGTTCAACTCGTCAAACCTAAAATTGACGTGATCAACTTGTTTTATTTAATCGTGTCGAATTTCCTCTATTTTTCCGTTTGTATGTTAACACGAACAATATGAAATTGCAATGATTCATATGTTTAATTGATATTATAAAAATAAAATATTAATTATTTGTTGTTGTTTATTAAGCAATAACATAATTATTGTATAAAAAGATATTTTTACTCATTATTATTGCTATATTTATTAAGTTAATTTTTATTTTATAGAAAAACCTAGCGGTGTGAAGTTGAACCCAAACAAACAGTAAACCCGGACGTCAGGGGTTTGGCTCTTGCCGGTGTCTCACGAACTTAATTGATACCTGTGGTTTGCGGATAATTACAAGTATCTGGGGTTTACTCTCGCAAGAATGGGTTCAAAGTGGCCTTTCCACGATATAAAAAAGAAACATGAATGCAAAAATGAACACGATACGAAAATAAATAGGTTAGTCTAATTTTATTCAGGGGTAATAAGAGTATTAAAATATAACAAATTGATTATGCAATCACTTTTTTGACATTTCTAATAACGATGCTAACCATAGCGATACTTTGTGAAATAGGTAGGTAAACAGTAAGAGATGTTAGTGTAATTTTAAAAAATTGAGGGGTATCTCTGTAATTAGACCAATATGCTAAACTTTATAAGTTGTACTAAGATTTTTATTATAAAAATAAATATCATAGTGTATTTTTAAGTAAAACTTGAATTATTTAGAATTTTAATATATTTGATAATACAAATTATAGAGTAGTATATTAAATCTTATTCCATTTGACCTAATTTATTTTTAATTGCAGTAAGGTTCTAATGTGATTAGTATATTAACAATTACTTTTATTTTATTCAATGAATTATAATTGAAATCCTAATTAAATGAATTTCAAAAAATTTAATTTCTCAAATATCACTAAAAAATCAATCTTAATCACAAAATTCTAAAAATATAGGACTTTAACTATTTTTTTTTATTTTTATAGTTAGAACAAAAAATTTGAGAATATATAAAATTTTCATAATCTTATAATAGAATATGAGCAAAAAAAATAAAAATTGTAAATTTGAGATGATATTTAATTCAAATACATATATATCTAATATATTTTATTAATTTTTGTGTATAAAAATTATTTACGTGCAACACACGTAGTGCATTCTTAGTATTACAAAATGAACAATAACGATAATAATAATAGTAAAAGTGAGACACTAATAATAACTGTGAAACAATAATAATAATAGCGAAACAGTAATAATAAGAATAACATAAGAAAGTAATATTGAGACAATAACAATTACAAGAATAAAGAATTTTTGTCGTCACCACTTTTAGGTCATCAAGGGCAATTGTGGTCACATTATTATTTTATTCTTAATGACATGATTATCGATATTATGAAATGGACAATGACATTGATAGTAACATAGACACAGTGATAGTAACATAGTTATAATGATTATGACAGTGAAATAAAATGACAATAACAATGACACAGTAACAAATATTACTGTTCAAATTTTACGGTACTAAACAGTTATAGTGATATTAACGATGAATTTTCATTGTTTACTGCTATCCATTGTCATCACCTAAATTTTACGTGACATTTGTTGAATTTTTGTTCATTAATTTCATTGGATACCATTTGAGCATAATATAAGTTAAATAGTTGTCTCTCTTAGTTGTTACTTATATAAATTGTAGTGTTATTTTTCTTTCTTAAGGGCATTGGTATGATTTATAATAGTTTCGGTGGCTTGTCCGAGCAGAGGGCACTTTCGAAAAATCAGCCAACAAATAAAATTAAACGAAAAAATCGCCCAAAATGCTTCTTGCAGTGCCAACGACTCTCTCTCTCTCTCTCTCATGATTTGAAAGTTGGGTCAGTTTACGGGCCCAGTTAGCATTGCCACTCTCTATTTGGGTTTCTCGTCCTTCCTAGGGCTAGGGTTTTTAATTTGTAGGCCCGTCTATTCTACGGGCCCAGTTAGCATAACTGGCCCAACGCTATTAAAAGGTCATTCCAATTCGCGGTATAACTCGGCAGTGTATAACGACGCCGTTCTCAACTTCCGACTCGATCTCCGATCATTGATCAGTTGAGCTCTCGCATGCACCTTCGTTGAATTTTTCCGCTTGGTTTTATTTTTCCTTTCTTTCTAACTTTTCTCTGCAATCAAATGGATCAGTTGAGTAATGTTGATTTTCAGTATATACTTGAATGAGTAGGATCAGCTGCGATTCTACTTTGATTTTCTTTTTTCCTGTTTTTTTTCTCCTTGTAATTCAAGATTTTCGTAATCTTATTCTCTTGGATGTCTTGCTTTGGAATTTGTGTTTAAAATCACTTTTAAAGCAACAAAATTTTATTTTTTCCTGTTTTAATTCCGTTTTCAGACCAAATTGGGTATACATACAGATGCAGAGTGATATACATACACGTGAAAGCGCAAAAAAGTTGATTAGAACTAGTTTACGAATTACGACTCAGTGTAGACAAACTATAGTAGCCTGTGACTAGTTTAGGATGCAAATAGCTTGGGCTTGAACTATTTAAATTGTGGTTGTTTTGGAATTTGGATTGAATTCTCACTAGCAGACCCTTTTCGTTGTCATTTTATTTCATAATTATTGCTTTGGACCCTTCATTGTTTACGCGCTCTCTATTGCTTTGAGTGTCATGTACATCTGCCATCTTTAGAAACTTACTTGTCTTTGTCTTTCGTGCTTGGGATATTGATAGGGCTGAGACTTATTGAGTTGAAGGAGTATGGATCCGGTAAGGCAGGTTTTTTCTGTAGATCTTCTCGAAAGATATGCCGCAAAGGGGCGTGGAGTGATTACGTGCATGGCTGCTGGAAATGATGTCATTATGTTAGGAACTAGTAAAGGGTGGGTTATTAGACATGACTTTGGAGTTGGAGATTCTTATGGTATGTTGTCCTACCTTTTCGTATTATCAAGTTCTTTTCTTTTTCGACCTCTTTTGTGATCTAGTCTTTTATTCATCATGAGTATACTCTCAGGCAAGCCTATGCTGGATGTTAAGACATCCGGAATTCAGTCCACAAACACATGCACAGACCCTATATGGATGTTTTTGATAATATTAGTGTCGTAGTTTCATGCTAAATTTGCAGTATAACTAATGAGCTACTCAAAAGAATTGCAATTATGTGGTAGTCTTATTGGGTAATCAACAGCACAGTAATATTTTACATTCTACTTACATTTCGTGGCTATTATACAAAGCATTCCAATTTCTGCAAGGAAAAGGAAAGGTTATTTATCACTAGTCATTCTATCGTATCATTTTGTTAGGATATAAGAATTTTGAGTATGAAATGAACCATGTTCTTGAACATGGTTTGTTAAGATCTTGTTACGAGCCCCAACGAGTAAAACCCAGGCTTAAGGTAGGGCTCGATTTTCTGGGCTCAATTTAGTGATGTTAAATATTTTGAAAATCAATCAAGAGTGTGTGAAGATGATTTCATGTAGATGTTTAGATTTGCCATGTTAACTCGACTCGACTTGATATTCTCCTTCCTATAAAAATAAATTAATATTCTAATTTGACTTGATCTGATCTAACAAATATGCGATAATAAATAAGGATGTGACAATTTGTAGTTTAGTAGAACATATGGTTCTAGTTAGAGAACAACACTGGAAAAGACTCATGTAGTTGATCCTAAATTGTTGGCATTAGACTTGTCAATCATGTTGGGTGAAGCAGGTTCGTGTCGGGTTTTAGTGGTGGGTTCATGTCAAAAAATATTCTACTCATACACGATTCATTTATTAATTGTGTCGGGTCCATTTATTTACGAAACGGGTGGTTTAAGGAAGATCTAAACTCTCTAATTTCGTGTCGTGTTAACGGGTTGTGTCATATTTTGACACCTAGTTGGGATAAAGCTTTGTTGGGTTAAGTTATTTTTTATCTAAAGTGAATATATTGGAGCATCTTGTGATCTAAATGAGCTCAATGTTTGGTTAGTGTACCCAACTAGACTCACGCACCATGAAGCAACTCCTCATTTTTTCTTGGTCATTTTATATAGATTTTGATCTCTCTGTTGGTCGACCTGGGGAACAATCCATCCACAGAGTTTTTGTTGACCCAGGAGGGAGCCACTGTATTGCCACCGTTGTTGGTAGTGGAGGTGCTGATACATACTATACACATGCAAAGTGGAGCAAGCCCCGTGTATTAAGTAAATTAAAAGGTCTTTTAGTGGATGCTGTTGCTTGGAATAAACAACAGATAACAGAAGGTGATTGTTATTGTTGGCGACTTCTTTTTTAATGACTTCTCCCCCATAGGAATTCAGGCCAAGTGATTGATCTTCAGTGTTGCATGTGATGTCTTTACAGCTTCTACGAGGGAAGTCATTCTTGGTACAGACAATGGCCAACTTCATGAAATTGCTGTAGATGAGAAGGATAAAAAGGAGAAGTATATAAAGTTTCTTTTTGAACTAACTGAACTTCCAGAGGCTTTCATGGGCTTGCAGGTACATTCCCTTCCCTCCTTCCTTTTTTATTCTTCGATAAGGGAAGCAGTCCAAGTTGCTTAGTGTTTCTCCTCCACGCAGTGGAGGATGTCTCACCTATTTGCAATTGTTTATTCTGAATCTAATTTGCAGTGATAGGATTGCTATAACTTCATTGGTATAATTTCATGCTTTATCTGTATGGATCTTTAAAAACACTTTGATCCTTGACTCTGTTGGGCTGATTTCCATAGAGATACAGAATGGCGGGATTGAGCTATTAAATCACCCCTTGGAAATTAAGTATGTCCATAAAAATTCTCCAAGTAGCTGTTAGGAAAAGTTACATTTGTTAGCTCTATTGTTTTCTCTGAAACAGAATCTAAGAGTTTCATTGAATGTGATGATAGTTTTTATCCATTTATAACAACAATGAAGGCATGGCATGATTTTTTCCTTACCTTTTTCTATGCTGCAGATGGAAACTGCTAGCATAGCAAATGGAACACGGTATTATGTTATGGCTGTTACTCCTACACGACTTTATTCTTTCACTGGAATTGGGTCACTGGATGTAAGTTTTTCTTTATACCTTATTTCCCTTTTGGGCTCTTATTGAGCAGTTTTTTCTTTTGGATTGGAGAAAGCACTGTTTTCCTAGGAATTGAGAGTAAGCGACGTGATTTGGATAGATACTAAAAGTGAGAATATTTGACATGATTATTCACATGTCAACAAGTTCATCATTATCACAAAATATCCGAACGCCGTTTCCTAGGTATTAGATACTTATGATTTTGACCTCAAGACTGGCGCCCACTTAAGTTGTTTGTCAACCCTAATACATTTGCTTAGATACCTAGTAGTGCAGCTGGTAGTCGATCTTTGCTTGTACTTGACTACCATCTCAACATTACTGTCTCCTTTGAAGAGCAGGCAGTTTCAAAAAACCTCCTCATACTCGAGGGCGGTAACAAATTACCTCCATATGCTTCAAACTTTTGCATTAAACATCCCTCAACTTTCAATTGAAGTGTGAAAGTGATGGATCCTGTTTGTTTTAATGTAGGATGTAGTATGCTCGTTGTTAGGCGCATGAACCATCGTATCCCATCCACACACCCCAACCACTAGCACAATCCACCCCCATGACACTCCACTGTACCAAACTGAAAGCTTGGAACCACAACCTCGCGATTTGATTTATCCTTGGTTGGTCGGTTCACTAGAGCTGATTTTGGTGGAGGGGAGTTTGATGCAGTATATGTATGTGCTTTGTGGGGTTTGGGGTGGGGTTTGTGGAGGTCTTTGACATGGATGAGAGATGATAGATTGTTTTGGCAGAACTTGTCATAAACAAGGATTTTTTTGGCCTTTGCAGTTGTTCCAATGCTTCATTTCACGGTTGGTTCAGATTTTCCTAAATCACCAACTTATCTAAAAGTTCAAGTTATTAGAAAGAGTGTAACCTAAACATTATATCCTTCAACACATTCCCTCACGTGTGTGGGTTGGATTTTTTGGCTAAGCACATGCTAGTATTATAATTGTTGTAGCATAAATATTTAAGTTACACCCTCTCCAACAATTTAAGCTTTTGGATTAGATGATTGTTTAACATGGTATCAGAGTAGAAAGTCCTGTGTTCGAATCTCGCTGCTACCTTAATTATTAAAAAGATTTCCATGTGCTAGGTCTAAAATCTAGCTTGCACATGAAGGGGTATGTTGAAGTATAAATACATCTCCAACAACTTAAGTTTTTGGAGTAGATGATTGTTTAACAATAATCATCTTAGGTGACGGAGAGACCCGAATGCAGAACTTCTTGTTTTAATAGAAAATTAGAACATCCAACTTAAAATCAATTGAAAATTAGTGGATAGACCTAGTTACAATACTAGTAAATTGGGTGGCCTGAATCATTCGATGAGGGATAGAAGCACTCTAAACATCTCCCTTCACAAGGGTCATAATATCATTTCATGTGGAGTTTTGGCCAGCTCGTAAATGAAAATTATGTCAGATCCGAACTTTGACTTTTTGAACATTATATAATAGTGGGATCCAGTGAGGTTTTTCTGATACAGCCGTAGCCAAACCTCGGTAAGATGTTTGAACTTTGAGGCTCACATCCCAAGTTTAATATTTAATTCTCCATGTATATTAAGTTGCACATCTGCTCAGATTGATATAAACGGATTTAATATTGGGTCATACTCCTTTGGCTTATGAATTTCTTGTTTCCTTCGGTTTTTAACTTTTATTCCCCCTAGGTGCTGCTGCTTATATCATGAATTTCTCTTGTAAATGCTTGACTGAATATGCATTGTTGGTGTGCAGCTTGCAAATTACTACTCATGTTTTGATGCTTTTTGATTTTCGTGCTCTTTGTACTTTGTAGTCTGTTTTCGCTAGTTATGTTGATCGTGCGGTGCATTTCATGGAACTTCCGGGTGAAATACCAAACAGGCAAGTGCTTTAGTTTATGCTTGCAATCAAAGTTATCAGTTATAGAAGAACTGGATCTTTAGATCTTATTAATATGTTCTATAGCAATTTCTTCTGATTAGCTGGCATTATACACGTGATTTATTGGCTGGGTAGCTGTCATTTTAGTTGCTTCTACATGTTGTATGTTAAATTCATTTCACATACAGAGGGTGTAAGCATCACAGAGATATATATAAGTTAGACTGTGGCACCGCGCTACCCGTCTTGGATCATGATTGAATCGGGACTCATGTGCATGCATGGAAAAACAACTAATCATGCCTTATATTCAATATCATTACCACTATTTTATATGCAATTCATAAAATACCTAATCATGCCCTATATATAACTAATCAAAATAATAACTCATATATAACTAATCTCGTGGTAGATAGTGGGCAATCACTACCACTATTTTATACTCAATAACTTAATCTTGCATACACAAAACAAGCATGCATCTAATTGCAAATGCTGGCTGAATGCAAAATCTTTTGTATCCATGAGCTATAGTTGTTGTGTTTCTGGAGAAAACTCTTTGCATTGTGAGCTTTAGGACATCATATAGGACCACCATTTTGTTGAGTTCATCACAGTTAGCTCGCTAGTCTAAATTGGAATTCATTTTTGCTTTCAATATGCAGCATTACTAAATGTTTAGTGCATCTCTCTCATCAATGAAGTATGATTGCTGAAAAAGTAGGATGATTTGATAGATTTGGAGTTGGAATATTGCCTTTCTGAACAAATGGACAACTTTTTTGATAAGCTTTTCTTGATAGCATGAAATCTGCTTCAGAGGATGGAATGGGGAACTAAGCCATTGCCCTCTGATGGCTCTTTTCTAACAATGTGGTTATGCGGCCTTCTGTGGAAATGAAAAGAGAAGTTGGTGTTGGTCTTAGGGCCTTAGGAGAAGGAGGTAAGTTTGGTGGGAAATTAGGTGGCACAATGATCCATTAGTTGTGGCTTGATGCTTGTCTTTATCGGCTGGCAAGAATGTGTTATCAGCCTCAAAGATGGTCGAGCTGGTGTCAAACTTGGCCTAGAGTTTCTTGTTGGAGTGGATGGTGGAATTACTTTCATGTTTCTTACTACTTGTACTGGTACGATAAAGGAATAGTTTTGAGAGCGGGTTATGCTGGGGTTTACCCAAGGGAATGCATCCCCTTCAGCAATTGGTGTGCACAGAATTACGGGTATTTATGCAGATCTAAGATACTAACTGATATAGGTATGAAACCCAAGACCTTAGGGCTGTGTTTTTCAATTTTCTGTATATTCAAAGAGTTCAACCATTTCATTTTACCAAGTTCAAGGTTAGCAAGATGAGTATTTTCCCATATTGTTGAACTTGGGTTTGTAATCTTTTTTGTTATTAGAAACGCCCAAAGCATCAAATTTTTGCAAAGCAGAGACAGAGACATTCTCCTATGAACGTGGGATTATTGTTCCACTGTCAGTTCCTATGTTAATGAGAGTGAGACTTCTTTTTCCGACTGCAACAAAAAAACTTTGTTGTATATGGGGACATTCAAAATTCACTCTGAAGGGAAGAGTTAGCATGAACTTCAGTAAGCCATGAAGAAAATTCTTCTTGTTCAGTTTAAGTAGCAGTTCTATCTATCAGTATGCCTGGTCTTGAAGGCAGACTTCTTCTATTTGGTTAGGACTGTTGGTGAGCTTATAGTGGATATCATCATTCTTGTTGCTGGACCACCCAGCCCTTGCTGCCTTAGTTATTTGCTGGTTCAACAGATTCATAAAAGGGCTTGAAAGAGGAGATAATGGAGTTCTTTTTGGTCTTCGAAGAAGGATGGAGAGACCACAAACATAAAATTGCATGCCAAAAGATTATAATGGTTGTTTTGGTAATGTATGTTGTGCTATGATGCTTTTGAAAGTGGGAAATATAGTGAATATTGAGGATGCTTAGTCTCTGTTGGTTGAAAGAGGGAAGGGTGGTTCATTTTTTTTTGTCTTTTCTTCCAGTTAGGGGATTTCTCCTTGTATATACCCCTATGGTTTGTTTTTTCCCCCCCCCTTTTCTGTCTTTGCAGTTTTAACAGTTGTTGCAGATATGTGAATTGAATTTAATGGCCACTCCTTCAAATGTACTTCTAGCAGGTGTGCCATATTATTTATATTGTCTTGAGCAGGTAATCAGGTGTGTCCGGTGGGGCTTTCTTCCTTCTTATGTCGTCAAGCCATTTATGCTTTGCCTTTATAGGGCAATTACTAAATTCCTCATGCTTACATTCTTGTACTTAAAGATGAGGTTTTTTTTTTACCAATCTTGCAGTGAACTTCATTTCTTTATAAAGCAAAGGAGAGCCGTACATTTTGCGTGGCTTTCTGGAGCAGGTATCTATCATGGTGGCCTAAATTTTGGAGCACAACATAGGTAGTGGATGAATCCATGCCCTTTGCTTCAATTATATGAATGGATATAGATATCTGTCAAGCACAGAGCTATGTATTTAGGACATCATACCTACAAAAAGCTGTGTACTACCTACGAAAACAACAGAGAATCACATCCATGACTTTTGCTTTCTTTGTTGTTTTCTAGGTATTACATATGCTGTTTAGTGAGTTTTCTATTGGTTTTAAAAACGTGTTGCATGAAATATATCTTATTAAAGCTTTTCTGAAACCTTGTGGCTAGTTCACCAAATGGGGATGAAAATTTTGTGGAGAACAAGGCTCTTCTGGACTATTCAAAGTTTTGTGAAGGAGACGAAGCTGTTAAACCTAGTTCTCTGGCAGTGTCTGAATTTCATTTTCTGCTCCTCATTCGGAATAGGGTGAAGGTGGGTCTGCTGTTTGCATATGGTGAAAATTTTATTTGTAGTATACTCATGTGCATTGCTTGTCAGTTTTGTGAGTGTCAACTGCATGATGTGCTGGTTGTCACTCTTAGGCATGTAGATGTAGCTGAATTTTTTATTTTAGTCTTAGTTTTGTTTGTGTTTGACAGTTTATGGCTCTGTAAAAACATCTGCTGTTTATTAAGCTAAAAAATATGTGATGTTTTGAAAATCTTTGTAGGTTGTGAATAGAATTAGTGAGCAGATAATAGAGGAACTTCAGTTTGATCAGACGGCAGAGTCAGCTTCAAAGGGTATAATTGGGTTATGCAGTGATGCCTCTGCTGGACTATTTTATGCATATGACCAAAACTCCATATTTCAGGTTCATCTTTCTATTTTTGATCCCTGCTTGATGCTGCACCACATGCTGTCCTCTTTTCCTTCTGCTGAGCTGACTATATAATTTAGGTGTCTGTGAATGACGAAGGCCGAGATATGTGGAAGATCCACCTTGACTTGAAGGAATATGCTGCTGCTTTGGCAAATTGTCGTGACCCACTTCAAAGAGACCAAGTATATCTAGTGCAGGTCAGGCTGATTTTTTCTTTCTTTGGGCAGTTGAAAAGGTGGTTATTCTGATGATAACTATCTTTAATTTTGCATCGCAAGAATATATGGACTCAGATCACTTTGGGTTGCATATATTTTTGTGCTGAATCTTGTACTATTTCAGCAGTTCATAACTGGTGTTATCGTGATGCAGGCTGAAGCTGCTTTTTCCTCCAAGGACTTTCTCAGAGCAGCATCTTTCTATGCAAAAGTCATTACTCTTTTATTTTATTTTTTTAATCTAATGCAATATATTACATTGCTTCTAAACTATTTCATGACAGTTGCTACAAAGATTTTTGAAGTATTCTGTTTATTGTTAACTTTGTTGTTGTTTTTGCTTCTGCTTTTGTTTCTATACTTGAACATACTTTAATGGCAATTGAAAATTTCACATTTCTGTGATACAAATAGAAATTAATATGCAAGTATTTTCCTCACTATTTTGCTTTTCACAAATGCTGCATTGACTGTGGATGTATTAAAAGTCTGGTAGTTGGATTACTTGGTAAATTAAGCACCAATTTTCCAAATTTGAAGGCTACCCATCTAGTTTTATTTGTCTCTTATATGGCCATTGAGGGCTTTTGAGGCACTCCCATACTTCTCCGTTGTTTCTCCCCTTTCTTTCCCTCCTCTTTTTCCTTCTCTTAACTCATTTTGTGGCAAGAGTATGGATTTGCTTTGCAAATTCTTTATTTATGAATCAAGGAATGCATGGGGAGATTTTTCAAATGATTTTTTAATGGGGTTAAGATTAAGTGACGATCATGTTCCCAGGAAGATCAAGTAGGGTGCGTATTTCCAGTGAACAAGGGTAGAAGACAGAAATTAAAGAGGAGAAGCCAATAAAGTGATAAAAAATCAATGTTGCATGGATCATGTGTTGATCTGATATGTGGTGTGGTGTGTGTGGGTGTGGGCGTGGGTGCGGTTATGGTTACGGGTACACGGTATACCACTTTCTTAGGTTCGCGGTGCGATAGAGGTAGGTTTAGTTGGTACGATGTTTTGGGTCACAATTGATTTTAGAACTATTATCTAGATCGCTTTTGCTAGTATATGAAATTATATATAATGGTATATACAATGTTAGACATCTATATAGATAATTAATATTTATTTAAGGCTTGTAATATGTATTCTAAAGTAAATTGATTTGAAGTTATGATGGGAATCGTGTAAGAATTTGATAGATATTATAGATTAATTATGAGAGTTATTTAGATACTTTTAATATTTATCTTTTAAGTATTTTCTTTTAACTTTTAAGAGTTTATTTGTCATTATTTATGCGTTTTAGGGTTTTGGTTTCCTTATATAAAGAGATGCATGTAAGGGTTTTATTTAAATTAGACTTTGATTATTATTGAATACTAATATTACTTCCTTCTCAAATTCTTTCTCTTTTCTCATCCCTTTCTTCTTCTCTTCTCATCTCTAATTCTTCCCTTCCTAGTTTATATCAATTTGGTATCAGAGCTAATATGATTTACATCAAGTTAGTATTGCAATTTGGGGTTGGACATTTAAGTGATTTAAATCGCAAACCCACCCCATTTGAGATTGTTGTACCCAGATCATGGTTTGTCAAGGGTTCAGCGATTTTGGGTAACTATGTAAAAAACATATTGGATGGTATGGAATATAAATCTGTCAATTAATTGTTCAAGGTAGCTGACCAAGGAAAAATGCTAAGTTTACTAAGTGGAAACAATTAAACTTTCGGCAATTGTAAATTACATGGATGCTTTAGAATTTGTGGTGTAAATGTGTTAGGTGTGTGGGCAGCATTGTTGTTGTACTAAATGTGTAAGTTTCCTGGTAGGATTTTCAATATCTTACTGGATTGTTTCAAAGGCTACCTTGAGACAATGTAAATCTATTCTGTACTATGTCGCATTGAAATCTATTCTTTCCCTATATTTCTATTTTGTTCGTTTCGATGAACACCCTTCCTCTTTATGACATTTAGTTTCCGAACTTTTTGAAGCAGCAGTGTCCATATGATAATGCCCCTCCTAATTCCATTCCTGGTATTCCCCGTGTTATTATCTTAGCCTTATAGTTTTGTTGACTACTTAAAGACAGGGAGTTGATATCTCACTTAATGTCCCTAGTAATAATTGAAAGGGAAACACCAGTAAATCACCAATTATATTAGTTTTAAGTACTCTATACTTTTCCTTCATTTAAGCCAGTGATGTTCCTTTTTCTTTTATTTTCCCTTCCAGATAAAACGGTTAATCGGTTAGTGAATGTCAAATAATGTACCATGCGTGCATTATAGTTGGCGTTCATAGTCTTGTTTCATTTGTTGTATTCTGTTCTTTTGATTCATTCTAGATTATTTGGCCGCTTGAAATTCAAGTTGAACATCTCATAATTCATGGTCAATTGCATGCTTTTTCCTTTCTCTGTGAAAATATACTCATCTTCATTGCAGTATATACTTTTGGTGTATTCCAGGTTGTGCTTTCTTCTCAGTTGAGATTTCAACAAATCAGTCTTTCTTTTCTTAATAGACGGAATGGTTGAAGCTGATCATTTGTTAGGCTTCCCTGTGGAAATGCAACAAGCTTCTGTTGGTTCCCTGACTTTTGAAGTTGATCATAACAGGACCTTGTTCTTCGACTTCTGGAAGTATTTATCATAGTTTGCATGGGATGAGACAGTTTTATCCATTGTGTCTAGCTGATTCAACCATATAGCAGCACTTTGATATTGTTTCAACTCCATCCATTTTATCCATGCACTTAAAGCCTATAGAAGTTACAAAACTATTCCACCCTCTTTTGTCCGTTAATTATATAGACTACTGCTATCTCCAATCCCATTCTCGGGACTACTTTGTTGAAAACCCTTAGATCCTTTTCAGGATATTCAGATGTCCTGTTAACTTTTGTTCTATTTGGATATATTTTTTTTCTGTCTTTGCAGATGTCAACTTAAGTTTTCTTAGTTATTATATTGTTGTTACAAAATGATAAGTATTGTAAATATACACTCACTACTATGACAGCAGTTGGGTTCCTCATCATTGATATCCATTAGCACCTTTTTTTCTGTAAGTGTACTTAGCACCTTTACTGTGCATTATTTTTAGCTTTTACGACTATATCGATGTGACAGTGAAGAAGGGATTAATTCTAGTAACTGAATCGACACTAATAAGAAAAGTACAATCTACGAATGGGAAAAGCAGAACAAGGCAGAACTGTGAATCAATGAAATGGACTCCTAGAAGAACCTAAATCATATACTCGTCGTATGTTTAGGTTTCATAGCTTGATTGTGAAGATAGTGGAGATTTTTCTATTGTATTCTTCTTTCTTCTTTGTTTTTTTTTGGTTTTTTTTTTTTTTTGGGGGGGGGGGGTAAATAATTGTATTCTTCTTTCATTAAACCATAGCAACATTTTTTCACATACTTTACTTTAGCTATGTATCTTTAATCCATTTTATCCTGTCAGTCACATAGGTGAGAATAGCCATGTATCCTGTATAGATTAGTGGAAGATCTTTCTTTTGAAAGACTTTATCCAGGGCAAAGTCACTTTTGTGAGGGCAAGATAGATGCCCCAGGTAGTTGCACAAATATGCATTACTTCCGAGTTGGCTGTCATTCTTGGACTTGTGCAAGGGCAAGAGGTCTTTTGCTTCTGCAATTGGGTCATCACTAAGAATGTTTGGTTGCAGAAAGTGAGGAGGCCCTGAACTGTCTCTGAAGCTAAAAAGTCATGTACCATGTTGGCATGTTGGATGCTATTATATTCTCAAATATCCTCAGGGTGGGATGTAAAATGAGCTGGACTGGTATATGTTAAGAGATTGATGCTCTTATATGGTGTTGGGGCTAGCCTTTCAGTTGTCACTACCTTTCCAAACTAATGCATTTGGTTCTTCAGTTGCCTTTGCTGCCAAGTGATATAGTTGGACATGTAATTTCCTGGGGAACAGACTACAGCTTGCTAGTCCATTTTTTTCCAAGATGATGTTGGATCATTATATCAGATTGCGTGGTTTATGTCTTGTAATAATCAAGAGAAACCTTATTTATCAACTTCCTGGAAAATTGGGGATGAATATTTGGCTGGGAAATCATTGAACTGAAAAATTCCTTTAACCTGTTTGCTTGAGCATTATGCTTCTGCACTTGGAGAGATTGGGTTATTTCTGATAATATTAGGCTTGGAGAGTGTAAAACCAGTCGAAAAGTAAACCTGTGATGAATAATATTGTATCTTATACATTTACTTTTTTTAAGGACTATTTTTTAATTCAAGGAAGTTCATGTTGCAGATTAATTATGTACTGTCATTTGAAGAGATCACATTGAAGTTTATTAGCATAGGCGAACAGGTAAATTCGTGTTTTCAAACTTTCAAGAAGTGGTATTATGCATGTTTATGGGAATGGTTACTTGGCTGCTCATTTTACTGATGCTTGATAATAAAATCTTTAAATGTCTTTAGCAGGTGCAGTGCTGTAATTAAGCTTTTTATAACCATTTGTTATGTAGATTCCAGTAGTTTTTAGTGTTTAATATACTTCATTCAGGTCGCATAGTTCACTTTTAAAAAGTCATGTTCACTACGAGAATCTTGCACCAATTATATTGAGACTGCTTATTAAATTTAGTGAGGCCACTTGCCAAAATAATTATTTTCTGAGATAGTACTTATAATGTTCTAATTTTCAGATGGACTTTGGAATTTGTAAACTCTACAAATTATTATTTGAAGTTGGATTCATCCTGTTTTCATGTTTGCTACACCCCAAACTAATATTTACCCTCTCCATTCTTGAACAATGCGTACTTAAGTTTGTAGCAGTTCAAATCTTGGTGGGACCTTTTTGCTCTGGCAGTCAAGTTTGTAGCAAAATTATATTCTTGGACAAGGATCAAAATTTTGTTTCGATGATCAAAACTGTCCGAAACATTTTCGTTTCTATGTAGATCGAAACGAATCAGTGATGAAATTGAAATTATAATACTTCCTGGTGGTTTCAAAGTTCAAAATATCGTTTTGAAACGATCGAAACATCTGAAACGTTTCCGTTTTCAAGGAGACCGAAATGAATTAGTGATGGAATCAAAATTCTAATTTTTTGAGGTGTTCTATAATGTTTCGATATATTTTGTTATATTTCAATGCATTTGCACAATTATTTTGGAATATTTCAAGGTATTTTAAGATATTTTGGTATATTTCGATCAATATTTTGAAAAAATAATTCTTAATTTTTTTTTTTTATTTTGTTTTTGAAAACGGTTTGAAACATTTCCGAAACATGTCGAACCGTTTTCGTTTCCTAGGTGATCGAAATAATGCATCGAAACGAAATTTTGATCCTTGGGTGGTTCATAATGTTTGTAGGTATTTTATAATGTTTTAATGCATTTGCACAATTTTTCAGAATGTTTCAAGATATTTTGACCAATATTTTGAAAAAATAATTTTTAAATTTTTTATTTTTTTCATTCTATCTCCGAAACGGATTTAAATTTTTTCGGAACACGTCAAAACATTTCTGTTTCCTAAGTGATCAAAACAATGCACCAAAACGAAATTTTGATCTTTGTTCTTGGAACTTTTGCATGTTAACTCTTTCCCCTTCTGCCAGTCATGTTCAAAGAACGTCATTTGTCCTGTTGGCATGCAAATAAAATACACCATGGAATATAAATCTTGCTGCTACGCAGTTGATTCATTTAGAACCAGTGCCATAACTTTGTATGTTTGTCTTCTAATCATTCAATTTGATTATTTGAATTTGGAAGTTCACAAAATGAAATTGCTAAATTCTCTGTCTACTGGTGTGCTTGAAGTTTGTTTAGATATATATCTTCATTATTGGTAAATTATGAGCGAGTATATTTTCATCAATTATACATGTTAACTTAGCATGAATATTGGTTACTCACCTCGAATCACATCTTGCTTGGACCAGATCTGAGTATGGACACATGCAGGTTAGTTTTAAGAAATTAGTCATTATTGCATCTAGATAAAGCCTTTGGCCATCTTTACTAATGCTGGAAGATAATATGCATAGGATAGTTACTTTTCATTTGGAAGTTGAATTTGCACATATACAAACTCGTGATCTTCCTATTGCTTGCAGGATGCTTTGAGAACTTTCTTATTGCGGAAGCTTGATAATCTTGCAAAGGATGACAAATGCCAAATAACAATGATTTCTATGTGGGCAACTGAACTGTACCTGGATAAGGTCTGCTCCTATGTACACGTAGACATAGGGATGGTGTAGATCTACATTCCATTACTTCTCTCCTTAGAATTGATTTGATGAAAATCTGATTTGTATATATGTGTTTTGGAACCAGTTTGCCACCTTTTGAACTTGCATGTATATACACTGAAGTGAGTCTGGTGGCAGATAATTTTGGTTTGAGTTACACCAAAACACGGAAAATGTGTTTTGTTGCAGCCTTTTCTTAATATAAACCTCCAAAATCCACTTGGCTCCTAGGAGTCTGATTGGCTTGTTCCATATATGTTATAGTCTCCACATAGGAAGCACGAACACTTGATTTTGGTTGGGGTGTCGGCGTTAGACACTTTTTAGACACGAACACGCTTCGAATATGCTAAAATGAATGTCTGAACTTTTTTTTGTCATATTTTTTTTCGTACACGTTTTGTACACATTGGGAACATGTGACCGACACGCTTAGGACACATTGGGAAACTCGATTGACAAGTTGGAGGGAACGTTTTGTATTTTTTAATGGAATACATTTTTTATATGCAAGTATTTTGATGAAAAACATGGACATAATATTGGGGCTTTTTGAAATCAAATAAAAATTAGGGTTACAAAATGAAATATTTTTCTAAATTGAAGTTGTATTAATCATTGATTGTTGGATCATGGATGTTATCGGACATTTATTTTTTGTTCGATGATTTTGTAATGTGAATTGTTAGTAGTAAGAAAACAATGATTTGATTGATTATTTTAGATATATTAATTCTATCATATGATCACACACACACACACACACACAAATACTTAATATTTAACGTGTCTCCCAAAGTATTTGTGTCCTACTTTTTAAAAAGATTTTGTGTCGGTGTATCCGTGTAGTATTGTATCGGTGTCAATGCTTCTTAGATCTTCACCCCTAAATGTTCACACGCAAAAAATTTGTGCACAGAAGCAGTTGGTGCTTCTATGTTCAAGAGAAAGATTTTGGTCCTTCAGGTTGCACTTTACCTTCGTGAACTTTCTTGGACCGATGGATCAATCGGGTAGCATATGAATGAAGAACTTGACCAGTACAGATATATTGGATGGATTTGAATTGCGTAATCCATCGCGTTTTACATGTTATGTGGTTTACTTGAAACAAAATGATTTGATTTGTTTATCAAAAAAAAAAAAAATTCATTTGATTTACTTTCTCATTATTTATTTGATGGTTATTTCAAGAACATCAGTTTATATATATGGAAAAGAACATGTCTGTAGACCTACATGGTTAACTGTTGCACTGGGTATTGCTGCATTGGCCTGTCAAGTGTATTTATCTCAAATCTTGGGTCGCCTCCTTAATCCTGAGAGTCAACAACTTTTGCCAATTTTAAATTGAAAGTTATTACTGAAATTGGTAGTTTAGGTTTAGTCTTCCAACCTATTGTTTGGTGGTTTTTTATAATTTTATGTGCTTGACACAACCTTTTCCAATCCCATTGACTCACTAGTCATTCCAGTTTCCTTTCCACAATCCCTTCAGATTAACTGTACCATGCATTGTGAAGTGACGCTGTGCATCATTATAGGTATAAATGAAATGGATGGCGATTCCACCCTATTACATGCCTTCTGTGTTGAACTTTAAGGAGCTTGTTGAAGGCAAATACTGTTCACAGTATGCAGGCAGATATTGCCAAGCTGTTGCATTTGGGTTTTGAGACTTGGATATACATTCACAATTCTTTGGAATACTTGGAAATTACAGACCTCATTGTATTGACACTTTGAAGTGTATGATTTCAAAAGCAGGAAAAGGGAAATGCCCATGTTGGCACTGCCAAAGGACCATGGTTCCACATTTGTGATACAGGATAGGTGGGTTTAGATTAACCAACTTTCCACAAAACGCTTTACAATTCAAAAAGTAGATTTACATATTCTGGGGTGCTTTGGGAATTCCAGAGATATATGTTTTTAATCTTTGGTGAAGTGAATCACTTTGTTTTTGGTTTTGTTTCTTTGGTTTGACACAGTTGAATCCTACTTAGTTTAGGAAAACCTTGTTCTGCTAGACTTTCTAAACTTTATATTCTTGATTTAGCATTAGTTATGTTTCTGCATAGGCAAGTCTTGAAGAGGTAACTATGCAATTTTTTGCATATTTTAAATGAGACTGCATTGGACAATTCCATTGAGGTGTCTAAAATCCTGTGGAGAGTTTCTAATGGTTTCTTCTTGTTCTTTCTTGTTATTTTTCCTTTATGTTTATTTTTAGTTCCAATGCTGCTGTGCATAATGAGATTCAACTATTCCTGCAATTAGCCTGTTTTTGTCCCTACCTTCCATCGTAAGAAGTTTACACTTGCGGACTGAAATTTCCCACATGCTATTATTTTTTATCTCACACCATATTAACCTCAAAATTCGACCAATTCCCATTATATTTGAATCCTCAACCCAAAGCTTAACATCTCCACCCAAACCTTGATATAAAAACCCTATATTTGATCATCGGATAGACTTAATTTCTTAGACAAGATTGTCTTTCATCCCGACTTTTTTCTAGATCTAAAGTTGTAAGCATTTATGGTGTCCTTGGTCTCTGAGTTTTGAAGTGAGGGATTGTCATCTATGCTTACATGGACGCCTTTTTTTTTTTGTTTTTTTTTTTGTTTTGCGTTTCTTTTAGGCATAGAGGTTTGTCATCTATGCTGACATGGATGCCTTTTTTTTTTTTGGCATTTCTTTTAGGCATAGAGGTTTGTCATCTATGCTTTACATGGATGCTTTTTTTTATTTTTTTTTGCGTTTCTTTGGATCTATGCCTAAACTTGTTATCTTCTTTCTTTAAAGTACATTAAAACTTCCTATTTCTTTGCTTCTTCAGAGCTTCTGTGTTCTTCTATTTTATGGGGATGTGCAGACATTGAGGAATCTTTCTTTCTTAGTTATTGTTGACGTATAAATGTACAAGTTACATCATCTAACAACTTAAGCTTTTTGGAGTAGAAGGTGATTTAATATGGTATCAGAGTAAGAGGACCTATGTCCGAATCTCTCACCATCATCGTAATAATTAAAATATTTCCACGTGCTAGATACAAAATCTAGCATCTACATTAGGGAGGGTGTTAAAGATAAATACTTAAGTGACACCCTCTCTAACAACTTTAGCTTTTAGTGTAGATGGGGTTTAACAATTTTCATTTCTTATTATTCAATGAATAAGGAATTCAACTCTACTAAAATGATCTAGAGATGTGAATAGTGGGAGTTGCCCATGAGTACTTAGGTTTCTGTCCAATAGGAATTTTATTCAGGTCTTTTCAGAATTATTTGGGCCTGAGTTGACGACTACTCCTGGGTTAGCTAGCTTATCTCGATTGTCTTTTTGGTTGGATTCCTAATACTTGTAAGCTGGGGGCTTGCTTCATTATCTTTTGAACAATTTGTTTTGGGCCTTAAATTTGTTTAAAAGTGTGCCCCATGAAAGGCCAACAATTTAAACATACTCCAGAGTAGTGTGAAACTAGGATTTTTTTTCAGTTCTGACTTCTGTGATACTTTGAATATGCTTATATGAATTTTGATGGCTTGGGCCCTTGTATTTGTATCTTATTGCATCTCTCCTACGTAGCTTTTTTTCTCGCATGTTCCATCTTTTGGTTCTTATCACTACAAGGAAAAAGAAAATTAACCAGGACAATGGAATTCTTAAGGTGAGCTGTGCCTTCACAATTCAAAATTCTTGTTTTTTTTCCTGCGAGGAGTTTGGAAATTCTTCACCCCACTTGTCTAGTCATTGTGAATGCAAAAAATTATATGGGAATTTCTGCTTGGAAAACACTATACTTGGGCTTAAAAAATATGATTTCTTGTTCTAAGTAGTAATTTTACACTTAGCACAAATATCTAGTAACTAACAACATGGTGGTTCACAAATTAAGTGGCAGCCTCTTCTTTAGTGTCATGGTCATGGGTAAGTCAGGGCTCTGTCTTTCTATCATAAATTTTGCATAACTTGGTGCATGTTTTACTAAAAGGAACCTTGTGAAAGTAATTTTGGTGGCCTCTGCTTAATATATCTGGAGTGTGTATAGCAAGAAGGCTAATGTGCTTTTGATGCATAGAATGAATATGCAGTTGTCTGGTGCATCAAACATAATGAATCCTTCAGGCATGTTTTTGGATTTTTATGTTTCTTCCTGATAGCTAAAGTCTTGTATAATGTTGATGTTACCTATTTCAGTGTGCTTTAAAATGAGTGGCATGTGGGTGTACTGTAACTTGTTATACAGTGTTTTTGTGCTTAGTAGACATATTGTTACTCATGCATGAACTGTGTTGTATTCAGATGGGTTTGACTTCTACCTGGAGCATCTCTAACAATGTTAATTGGCTGCTATATGTTTAACTTTAGATTCGTTAAATTTTGATATTAGATTAATCGACTACTCTTGGAGGAGGATAATGCTTCCGAGAATCATAGTTCAGAGTACCAATCAATCATTAAGGAGTTTCGTGCTTTTCTCAGTGACTGCAAGGATGTGTTAGATGAGGCAACTACAATGAAACTATTAGAAAGGTGAACAATTGTGTAACTACTGTCAGCAATCTTCTTTCTGATGATCTTTCTTTTACAGTTGTATTATTGTGCATCGAAAGGCTCATCTTTCTATCTGTTAGTTGCTATTGCATATTGCATTCAATGGAATAAGCAACCTCTTTTTGCATCATGTGACTTAAAAAGAGTTCATTAGTTGGATAAGAAAATATGTTTATCTTTCTAATTTTAGTCATGGATACTGAATCTGCCTAGATTTTCTATATATTTGTTGTAATTCCAATTTCCTGAATTAAGAAAAAGTTGTTTAGTGTACCCACCATGCATGACAATGCTTTAATTGGGAGACAAAACCTTATGCCCTTAAATCTGTCACTTTATCTTGATTCTTTATTTCGGGCAATACTCTTTTTTATTTGGGTTTCCAACTTTTTGCAGTTATGGCAGAGTTGATGAATTGGTATTTTTTGCTAGCCTAAAAGAACACTATGAGATTGTTATTCACCATTATATTCAGGTTCATTTCGTTCCTTTTCATCTTCTCTTGAGAATCCCATCTTTCTTCCTGTCTTTTTTGGCTACCTTTAATTTTATCTTTTGGAACTTAATTACAAATTCCTGTACTAGTTCTACTGCACATCAATTTTGCCGCCTTATATAATTGCCTCGGTCTTAGGATGTGTGCTTTCAGATGCTTTCCGTGTTTCTTAAGTTGGCACTGCTTTGGCACTCAGTGATTTTGTCTTTCTAGAAATATAAAAAGAAAAGTTTAGAGCATGCAGACACGGTTTTCCTTGATCCAACATTTTGCTTTGTGGGTATGGGGTTTGACAAATGATGAGACAAGATGATAAAGAAATTCATTGCTTAAATACCTATTCAGTTCGCATGCCCATGCTGTCATGCTCACATGACCAGAAACTTGGGGCTGATGGGATGCTGTGCATATTTTCACAAGTGTTTTTTATCTTGTCAAAGATTAGATGAAATCAGCATGTTTTTACTAATTGCTGCTACTATAGTAGAGAATAGGTATATATTTATTCCAATATGGAAGTAATTACTCAGTTTTTATGTTTAGTGTAGTTAAAATGTAGGTCATTAAGTTAATTTTCATTTGAATACTTGTATATTGTGTTCTGGACACAGCAAGGAGAAGCAAAGAAAGCATTGCAAGTTCTTCAGAAGCCTAATGTTCCTATAGAACTTCAGGTATGGATTGTGGAATGTTTTTGGGGATTCGGTATTATGTTTGCACAATTTCTGTGTCATAGGTTGATGCACAAGCACCATCTCCATCCACAACATGATCATGGTCCTATTATTGTTTCTAACTTACTTAAACTGGTTGATTCATTATGTTCTCTTACTTTGCAGTACAAGTTTGCACCAGACCTAATCATGCTTGATGCGTATGAAACTGTTGAGTCTTGGATGACTACAAAGAACTTGAACCCGAGAAAGCTCATTCCAGCAATGATGCGTTATTCAAGTGAACCACATGCTAAGTAATGTACCCCAATGCTCCCATCTTTGTTTCTCTGTCTCTCTCTCAATTTTGCAGTACCAATGTTACACACAACTGAAATTTCTGAAGTATTTCTGCCCTTAATTCATACTATAAGTCTATAACAGCTTCATCACCATTATGTGTTCCTTAATATGCCAAAATCATACGACAAAAAAGTCTCTTCTTAATTTGAGTAGTTTGGTACTAACTTGAGGACTGGACACTTGATAATCTGGAAGGTGAAGGAGGATTTGTTTTTCTGGTCCATGGATTGTTGGACTCTTGTTGGAATTCCAAAGTAAAGAGGCTACCTTTGCTTCAGATTTATGATGTTTGTTAGTGGCATTGATTTAGTGATTGATACATGTCGACCTGACTTCATTCTACTTTTTGATAAGAAATAACTCTTTAATTTCGTTGAAAGATGTAAAAGTACATTGGATGTACATTCTACTCTCTGGCCATTTCAAGATGTAGGAGTCATCTACTTGGATGTAGGAATCATCTACTTGGTTGTTTTTCAGAAATTAAATCATCTACTTGGTTATCTGTCATAATATCATCCATAACTTTTTTTTTGTCCCTGACTTGAAATGATTGAAGTTTAAATTATAGTCATGGAAAAGCTGCATCTCTACATCATCCAGCATGGCTTCTAATGGTGGAAACTAACTATTAGATGTTACATCCAAAAAAAGGAATGTGACTGCTAGATATATTAAGAAATTTGAAGATATTCTTATCTTTTCTGATAAGTGAAGATATACTTATTTGGTGCCTGTAGTGATGCGTACTTAAGTTTCTTTTAGTGCATTATCCGCAAATGAGTTTTGCTACCATGTATCATGTACAGGAATGAAACCCATGAAGTAATTAAGTATCTGGAATACTCTGTTCACCGTTTGCTGAATGAAGATCCTGGTGTTCACAATTTGTTGCTCTCATTGTATGCAAAGCAGGTTGAGGTTCCCACTCAAGAATTTTATATGCTTTTGTCAAGATTTATGCACATTTGTCATTGAATGTTTTGTTTATCTATTATGTTCAAATGAAACTACGTTGCATTTTTTATGTTCGTCAGTGATCTATGTATTTGCCTGATGTATGATGTCCAGTCTAGGAATACATATGCAAATGGCATCAGATTTTCAATTTATTTCTATTTGTACTGTGCTAAACATTTTTTAGTCATAAGAAATACTAAACTAGCAGTAATTTACGTGCCAGTTGAAAACATTTTTTTCAATGATTTTTTTGGCATTTAGATGATACAGATTCAAGGCTGGTTTTTGAAGCTTATGATGCCTCCTAATATAAATCGGGTTCGTGTCATTGTTTTTTTTTAAAAATATTTTCTTTGATTCCTTATTGATTTCATTTTTGGCCAACCAACCCTCCTCCATGAAGAATTTTGCTATGCGCCCCCCCCCCCCCCCCCCCCCCCCCCCAAAAAAAAAAAAAAAAAAAAAGATCCCTATAGAGCGAAAGAGCTCATGGGATGGACTGCCATGACAAAACAAAAGGAAATTTCACATGTTAGCTATGTCTTCCAATATTTGGGTGGTATTCACGATCTTTGATTGGATTTTCTCATTATTGGGAAGCTTCTTTACAGGTTCAACAGATTTTATTTTACAGTATGATTGATCTCTTTTTGGTCATGAATTCTCGTTTACTTGATAATTGCATGCTGAAAAGGGATGCGATAAGGACTTGTGATCTCAAGTTAATTTTACCTTGAGGTGTCGTTTTTTGAACTTGTGATATGTAGATCAGATCTAACATTGATGTATCTTTGGAATTAGGAGGATGAGAGTGCTCTTCTGCGTTTTCTCCAGTGCAAGTTTGGTAAAGGACGAACAAATGGCCCTGAATTCTTCTATGATCCCAAATATGCACTGCGCCTCTGCCTGAAGGAGAAGCGGATGCGTGCCTGTGTTCATATATACAGCATGATGTCTATGCATGACGAAGCGGTAGCTCTTGCCCTACAGGTATAATTTCCTGCTGATGGTTTGTAGATGGTCACTGGTTTTTGATTTCATTAATATACATATTTATAATTTCTATTTGACAATTTGTTATGACTTGGGATTTTATGTAAGGCTGCAGTGTCAGCAGTCATGTTTAATAATGGTTGAGCAATGTCTGATTATAGACTATGAGCTTCAGATCTGTTTCACTATTCAATTCAAATCAGATAGATATGATTCATAATGGAGCTACATATATATATAACAACCAATTTCTTAGGCAGAAGCTTGGAAAAGCTTTCCCCCCTTAGTTTCTAATTTTATAGAATTTTGAATTATTTAATTAGATTTGAAAAGTTTCTTCAAATTATATTTTGACGTGTTACTTATCACTTCCCATCTCTTTCCTCACTAATTACTCACCATCTATTTAAACTTATTTAAAAAAATTATTTTTACTATCCAATAATTTTTTATTTCACTTTTCGAATATAAGAATGAGAAAGAAAGAATGATTAAGAAAAATAATGGGTTAACTTGACTTGAGGGTTTGAACAGAGATGCTGAAATAATAATGCAGTATTTACTTAATGAATTATTGGTTTGTTGTTGGCAAAGTGCATTCTGCATTCTTGTGGGGTTCTATCCTAAACTTAGTCTGTTGTATGCACTACCTAAAGAAGTAAAAGTCAAGGTAAGAAGGTAATTCCTTTTTGATCAATTGGCATGCTTAGATAAGTCATAGTTTTACAACTACATATTCTTCCGTTTCGCATGAACATCTGTCATGTTTCTGTGCTGCTCCTGGTCTTGATTGAAAGTTGATTGCATGCAGCTTGTTAATTGAGATTAGATGTGTGTTCTCTCTTGATTGATGATAAATGCGTAAGGTGGTGTCCTCCCCAGTGGGTTGGCTAAAAATAAACATTGATGGGGCTTGCAAGGGAAATCCAGGTACTTTGGGAGGCGGAGTTATAATAAGGAATCAAGAAGGTCAAGTCTTAGTGTTGGCTTTGAATTCCTATGGATGTTGTTATAATCTTGAAGCGGAATGTTTGGCTTTATTGGATGCTTTGGAGATAATTATGGATCTTGGTTTTGACATATTATGATTTTATCATTGACTCGGATTCTAAGCTCCTAGTTGATATGGTGAATCAAGGATCTCTTCTAGTTGGAAATTATGGTATAAGTGGCTGAAAATTAAAGATGTACATTTATTATGGGGTCATGCTTATCGAGAAGGAAATATGGTGGCAGATTTTTTGGCCAATAAGGGAGTAAGGGATGGAAGTTTTCGGAAGTCTATTGAATTTTTTAAAATTCCATTCCAAGGTAGATTACTTATTCTCCAAGATTTTCTCAAAAATGGAAATCTATGTAAAGGAAGGTGAGGCATCAGGGGGAAAACCTTCATTCAATTTGTAAAAGGGCCAAACTGTGGGACATTGAAGATTCCTTCTTTTTTGGTCTTTTAGTTGTAAGCTGCATGCATTTGTTAATTTTATTCTTATATTATTCCTTTGAAATGATGTAGCCTAGATTGCATTAGAGGGGTAAGGCTCATTACACCACCTGGCTAAGTGTAATTCTTTTTTGGATTAATAAAACTGTACCCTCGTATCGTCAAGGTTTAAAAAAAAAATGTTTGTTCTCTTCTTTATCTATGTTTGAAATAAATTTTTTCTTAGTCTTGTGTTGTTGTATTTTGAACAGTAAATACGGATATTAATCCTCTTATTATCAACAGTCTCATGGGATTTTGTACAACTGCCATTCTCATTTTTTTCCATGACGCAAGCTTTAGAATTCACTTTGGGACTCCTGATGCTAGATACAAAATTAGATGGCAGTTATTTCTGCTTTTGTTAACTACATGCATCATATAAGCTGTTTCTGCTTTTGTTAACTGCATGCATCATATAAGCATTCACTTCAACGATTTTTAAAGGTTTGTACATTTGTACTTCTTTTCAAACTTTAATTTGGTGTGTTAGGTTGATCCAGAGCTTGCCATGGCCGAAGCGGACAAGGTGGAAGATGATGAAGACTTAAGGAAGAAGCTCTGGCTTATGGTTGCCAAGCATGTAGTTAAGCAGGAAAAGGGAACAAAAAGGGAGAACATTCGAAAAGCAATAGCATTTCTCAAGGAAACCGACGGGCTCTTGAAGATTGAGGATATATTACCCTTCTTTCCAGACTTTGCCTTGATTGATGATTTCAAGGTATGATCTCCTGTGCCTGGTTCCAATTCTAATATTTTTGTGTTCTTTTGATAGATAATGAAATAACAGTGCTTGTGTTATCTTGTTTGCATGGTTAATGGTGCTTTTAGTATTTAAATCATGTGATAAAATAAAAATATTATCATAATAATTTTTTAATTCATTATTACCCTAATTCTAAAAATTTACATCATGATACCGCATAAAAAATACAATATAAGATATGTTGATACACATTCATCATTAACATTTGCTATCCAACAATCAATGACTACTACAATTTTCATTTTAAAAAATATTCTAGTTCGTAACACTAATTTTCTTCAATTTCAAAGAGCCACAATTTTGGAACTCCATTTTTTTTCATATTGCTTTCACATTAAAAGTTTAGTTCATTTATATAAAAGTTCGTAGCCATATCAAATAATAAAGTTACATTAATGTCCTATATTCAATGTAATGATTGTAACTCATTTTATATAGTGATTTTGACTTATATCTCTTTAAAATTACAAAAAATAACTCCCATAATTATTGTTATTTGAAAAGTTTTAAAAAATTTGGAAAAAAAATTGAAAACGTGTCTCGACACGCTGTCAGTTGCGTGTTCCTAACGTGTACGCCGTGTCCCCAACGTGCCCCAAAAAAAATTTAATAATAAAAAAATCAGACACTCATTTTAATGTGTCCGACATGTGTCCGTATCCAAGACGTGTCCGACACTAACACTGACCAAAATGAAATGTCCGTGCTTCCTAGATTCTGCGTGGAAAGCTGATGTGCCATACTCTTAAACTGTTGTGAAAAAATGAGATCACAATCACATGACATATGCCACAAAGCTGTCTTTGAAAGAAAGAAAAAGGGCTGGAAGCTCCTTTTTGTGCATTTCGTAGGAGATATAAATTGTCACCAACAAATCATCAATTTTCTCCTGGATTAATTTTTGGTTAAGATGGTATCTTGGGATGCAAATGCAGTCTCTATTTGTACTATTAATGTTCAGACTAATGTTACCTTAATAGTTGATCGATTATGTGCATGGTGCAGGTAGGGCTAAGTGGTATGATACTTTCTCTGCTTCACGATGCTATGGGGATAAATAGTATCTTATTTTAGGTTGCAATTTGCTTTGAAACTCTTATCCACATTATTCTTATTATTATGTGTATTTTTATGATTTTGCATCTATATGCACTTGATCAATTAATATTTTTTTTTTTAACAAGAGTTCCAAAACAATTTGAACTCCAAAACAATGTAGAAGCTAATGATTGTGCATTATAAAAGTTAACGGTTGCACTTTTTAAACTAGAAAAAATCACATACCAATGAATCAGAATAGTAAGTTTAAAGATCACCGAAATAAAGCAATTAAACAACCACTTAGTATTAATTAAATTTTGGAGTTGAAGTTACAGTTTGGGGTTAGATGGATGATGGGCTTGAGGGTTTGGGTTACTAATTTGGGTTCAGGAACTTTGATGACCTAGGTCGCAAACCTCCCCTGGTTGGGATCATCCAACTCCGGATCGTGGGAGGCCTTGGGTACTTGCAATCCCAGTGTTTGTGGTCCAGACAATTAACTTTGTGGATCAATTATATTACTCTGTTTAGTTCACATGCATGCGGCTTAATGTTATTCCTGTTTTCTCTTCGTTTCGTAAATGGCGCATTCTTTCCTTTGTAAAGATCTTCTCTCTTCCCATCTGTATATGCTACATATTTAACAATTTGTTTACCAGAAAATTGGCTTTCACTGCTTTTTTGTGTTTTTGTTAATGGTCTCTTCAACTGCCAATAGATAAAATTACTTCAAAATGATTGCAGGAGGCAATCTGCTCATCGTTAGAGGATTACAATGAGCAAATCGAAAAACTGAAGCAGGATATGAATGATGCAACACATGGGGCAGACAACATTAGAAATGATATCAGTGCCCTTGCTCAGCGATATGCCATCATTGATCGTGATGAGGAGTGTGGGGTAATGATCTTCCTGGTGTTAATTCCCATGGATTTTCATTGGCAATGCTTATATGTATTTGTTGTACACAAAAATGTCCTCTTGGCCCATGTTAATTGGGGCTGATTTAAACTGACCATTATTGCTTAAAATGCTCCATGTAGGTCTTCAAGTTAATTGATCATTTGCAAGCATATTTATCTGATCTGCCCTCGCCATAGTTCTGTAATTCCCTTCTTTTCTATGCAATTCCCTGTTTCAATTCAGGTTGTGATAGCATTTGTTATCGTATATAGCAATCATTTTATGGCCTCTTTAGCTGGATGTTAATGATCTATGGTTCAAATATGGTTAACCTTTGACATGATTTTGTGTCATTGAAACATGTCTGCATTCCTCCCAGTTTGACCTTATTTAATTCAGTTCTACTTGTTATGTTTGTGCCTGTATCTGGATTCTTGGTCTCACTTGTGCTTTAACAGGTTTGCCGGCGGAAAATCTTAACTGTGGGTGGGGATTATCGGATGGCTAGGGGTTACGTATCAGTTGGACCAATGGCTCCTTTCTACGTCTTTCCATGTGGACATGCCTTTCATGCACAATGCCTGATAGCCCACGTGACTAGATGTACCAACCAAATTCAAGTAAGTGGCGAAGCGATTTTTATGTTGGCCCCTCCTTCTCCTCTCTATGTAATATTTTAGTTTGCTCAATTAAAAATGGTCTGGCTGAATATCCTACTTTCTTGTTTTGAATAGACTTTTCTAACAATTTGTGGTATCCTTTCTACAAATGAGTATTTGTTTTTGGTATTGCATTTGTACAATTCTGTTACCTATGGTGCAGTAGCATGTTTTAATGAATCTGAAAAATCAGAAGAATCAGGATACATTTATTACAACCACACTGATCCTTGTCAACCTTGGATGCATTTATTGCTTAAAAACTCAGCTGTATGTCCTGAGATGAGAGAAAAATCATAGCAGTGCTGGAAGCTTGGAGCTTTGCATATAAGTCAGAACATTTATTTAGATTGAATTTTATCCTCTTGTTGTGGTCTTGACATCTGGATTAGGGTATTTATGCTCACGGTCACATATTACATTTCAATTTTTTTTGATAATTATACATATCTGTAATTCGTGACAAGGAAAAAGTTGGTTTGAACGCATTTCTCTCTTCAGATAAGAATAGTAGCTTATCATACTGAATTGGTTCTAGGGAACACAATCATCAACCATGCATTTTCTGAATCACCAATACGTCTTATGACTAGATGGAACTATTATTGATGAATTAATATAAAAATATTGGATACCCTGTCATGGCTTTTTGATTTGCACAAGATAGGTTATTGGCCCGACAGCATAGTTTGTGAGAAAATTGTTCCACCAGGATGTAGATTAGCAAGCTGTGTTTAGGTGGCAAACCCGCTATATGTTTTCAAATGTGATCTTTTCAGGAAGGGAATAATCTGAAAGGCGGCTTGGTATCATCTAGAGCCCATTTGCATTGGAAGTTGTGCTCAAGTTCTCCTTTCAGTGTGAACTTTGAACAGCTGATGAAATTAGTCTATTAATTTGTAGCCAACATGCAACTACTATACTTACTATTCTTCTAACTTTTGAAACAATCACACCAGGGAAAGCTGTAGGAGACCTAATGTCAAATTATTCTTTTCTGGTACCTAAGCTGGCATTTGCACCAGTACTAATCTATGTAGCACTAACATTAGTGCTTTAAGTTTAATCTCACCTGAAATGGGAAACATTGAAGTTCTAATAGGAAGATATTGTCCAATATTACAGCAGGCACAGTGCAGTAGTATTAATATAATTTATTTGGACAGATGTCTTGAATTTTAGTAGTAAGGTCCCAGATTAAATTTCTTGGGTTTTATTCCTAACTTTTTTCCCTCCCTCATATTATTCTTGCAGGCGGAATATATACTCGATCTGCAGAAGCAACTTACTTTACTGGGTAACGAACCTAGGAAGGAATTAAATGGTGGCTTAATTGAAGGGGAACCGATAAGCAGCATGACGCCTGCAGATAAGGTCTTTCTTCTTTATTATACTCTGTTTCTCTTCCCCCTCCCCCCCCCCACCAAAAAAAAAAAAGAAGAGGAAATTGCTATGAAGCGACTAAGAACTGGTAACACCCTACCATTATTAAAACCTAGCAAGGAAAGAGATACAAGATAATACTCTGTTACTGGTTCATGAACATAGCTTACTACTGGTACTGGTGCTGAGTCGCTTGATGTTAAAATGATGTGCAGATCCGATCACAGCTGGATGATGCCATAGCTAGTGAATGCCCATTTTGTGGCGACTTGATGATCCGCGAGATCTCGTTACCTTTTATCCTTCCTGAGGAAGCGGACGTGGTTAGTTCATGGGAGATCAAGCCACATAACCCTGGAAGCCAAAAAAGCCTTTCTTTAGCTATCTAATCAGTCTCTGCATATTGGAAGTTTTCATCTAAGGAGGTAAATGTTTGTGCTTATAGCTAGTTCATCATGGCTTTTGTGTTACTAAATCGGCCTTTAATTATATACATGGTGACCGAGGATTTTTAGATAAAAAAAAAAAAAAAACCCCTCGCCCGGGTGTTGGGGGGTTTTCGTTGGTGGAGTGTGGGTTTCTTGTATTTGTGTCTTTCATGCTATATGAACCTTTGGTTGTTCGTAGTGATTTCATCCTTGTATCATTCTTTTTACAACCTCCAATTCTTTGTTTGTTTAATTTGAACATGGACTCGTGTGCAGATACAATAGTAAAATATGCATTGATTTTTATCATTGAATTCCACAAAAGCACTCCATGACCATTAACGGTTTTTGGGGGAATTACAAAGCTTATTTCTGTTTTTCATTTGTTTCTATCCCTTGAACAGAAGTTATTTAGAGGAAAGTTTGCAGATGTCCATCAACGTCTAAATAGGCCTCGGCAACGGGCTGGGCTGTCCCAGCCCATAGTCTACCGTGGGCAGAGTCTTTGGGCTTTGATTAGTCAATGGGATGGGCTAGGCCTGTTTGTGAAAAAATTAAGGCCATGACCCACCCATGGGCTGGATTATTGGGCTAAAAAGTGAGCTAAATATGTGCCAGGCCTTATGGGCTGCTATTTGGGCCTGAAACTGGTTTTTTTATATTAAAAAAAAACTTTTTTAATGTTAAAACTACAGATTGACATCAACTCATAAGTTTGAATATAAAAAAATAAATTAACAAAAATATTATTCGTATTAATTGAATTAACAAATATTCATGTAAGAGATATAATGTTATATTGATTGATTGGTGAGACTATTTTGTGTCACTACAAATTGAGTGCATCTTAACTAAGTTGGCACATACACAATTGTTAATCATTTGCAAGTGTTTTTTGGGTGCTGAATCAGTTGCAAGTTTCAATCCTTAAATATCAAATTACCAAAACAATTATCTTATATAATTTGATGGGCTAATGGACTTCTTAATTGGTCAGCCCATTGGATTTCTTAATGGGCAAGCCTGTTGGGTTTATTAATGGGTCAGACTGTTGGGCCTCTGGCCCAAAAATCAGCATAAGCCAAGCTATAAGGCTATTGCCAAGTGTGTGGCTCAGGTTGTCTATTAGTCTGTTGGGCTCTTAGTCTTTGGATGGCCCATTGGACTTTTTGCTGAGACCTACGTCTAAATTCATTGGGCCCCACTAATGGAATCTCAGGGTCCACAATCAACTGGTGTTCACAATGGGGAGAAAATAGTCAATGAACAATGCCATAGGGGCTTAATCAGAGAATTAATTTATTGTAGTCATCGAATTAGTTGTACGTTAATGTTAGACAGAATTTACTTTTAATTTAACAGCTGTAATTGATTAATTCTCTAGACCAGGTAAAAATAACATTTTTTATAGTAACAGGACGACTGAACAGAACGACTACCAAAAACAATGGTCGGTGACAAAACCAAAGGTAATGATAGACTGAGAACTTTCTCTTTGTGTTTGCAAATTTTTATTGCTAGAATACGAAGACTTCGTCAGTTCGATTCACTGAGACAAACTCCCATGGGTGCAAAGCACATTCACAGACAAAAATGTTATCACAGTTGACATTTGGATTGATATCAATGTAGAAGTCCGATGACAAATTGAACTTCTGAGTAACACTGGTACAAGTGTCACCATCTTCCACACCGTACACCGAGCTGCAGATTGGAGTTGATTCCGTCCTTCCTATACCAACTGCATTATCATAAGGTTGCTGAAAATTGATGTGAAATTAGCAGGTTTTAATGGTAAACATGTAGACTTAAAAGATCTGACAAATAAGTAAGACAATCTGAATTTGCTGGTTTTTTGACAGAAACAAAGTGCAAAAGCTGGAAAGAACAAACTTAATTTTGAAACTTCAGGAACTTAATTGTTTATTGATCATCAAAGCACTTATTTATACAACTTATCAAAACAGAAAAAACATAAAAAATGCAGCTAAATCTGCTACATAACAGAAACTACCAAAAAAATAGCAGAAGAATAGGTCAAGCCTAACAAACTTTGACAATTTCAAATCGCCAGCTCCTGGGACATCATTCAACACTCCTCCTTGGCTTTGGAGTTGCAGACTCCAAGCCTTTGCCTCAAGAACTCATACCTAGCTTTGGGAAGTGCCTTGGTTAGGAAGTCAGTTTTTTGATTTTCTGTTTTGCAGTAGATTAGCTGTATTTCTCCTTCTCTTTGTACTACTCTTAGGAAATAGAGTTTTAGCTTTAAGTGTTTTGTTTTGCCATGGAACACTGGATTATTTGCAATTGAAATTGCAGCTTGGTTGTCTACAAGTATTTGTGTGCTTTCCTTTTGCTCCATATGCAGGTCTGCCATCAATTTCCTAATCCAGAGAGCCTGATTCACAGCAGCAACAACAGCTACATATTCTGCTTCTGCTGTGGATTGAGCTATGACTTATTGCTTCTTAGAACACCATGAGAAAATAGTAGAACCAAAGCTAAAACAATAACCTGAAGTACTTCTCATGACATCAACACAACCAACCCAATCATTATCAGAATAACCATGGAGTGTGAAATTTTTTACTTGATAGAACCTCAGACCATAGTCAATTGTACCCTTGATATATCTAACAATTTTTTTTTGCTGCTTGAAAATGAATTTCACTAGCACAATGCATGTACCTTGAGAGTAGACTTGTAGCATTCATAATATCTAGTCTTGTTGCAGTCAGGTACATCAAGCAGCCTATTAAAGTTCTGTAAAACCTTTCATCAACCTTTGCAGCTCCATCTTCT